ACAAGGCCCAGAACAAAAAATGATAACCAAATTATATAACTACTTACTTAGATATAAATTACTGGAAGAAACAGTAAAAGAAAATATGATAAGATGGGCCAGGGACATAGGGCACAACATTCAACTGGCAAACTGGGAGAAATTGTGGAAACAGAACATCAAAATGACAAGAGCCATACCCTACAAAGAAAACCTCATAAAAATGTTTTACAGATGGCACCTAACACCAGCCAGACTAGCCAAAATATATCCAAACACCTCCCCACGCTGTTGGAAGTGCAAAACAAAAAAGGGGACATACTACCATGCCTGGTGGAAATGTACAAAGGCCCAACAATACTGGAAGGACACAAAGGAAATTATTGAAGAAATAATAAACCAACAAGTAGAAAACACTCCAGAATTCTTTTTATTTGGAATGATAACAACACAACACAACAAAGAGACAAAATACCTCATCATACACATCTTGACAGCAGCACGGTTACTGTTTGCGCAAAATTGGAAATCAGATCAACTCCCAACCAAAGACAAACTAATCTCGAAGATAACAGAATGTGCCGAGATGGATAGACTGACACTAGAACTCCAAGATAAAGAAGAAAGTGAATTCTATCTTGTATGGCACCAGTGGTATCAATGGCTAGAAAAGAAAATCAGTACAAATATAGATGAAAGAAAATAGGGTAGAAAAAATAAAACCGGAAATAAATAAATTAAGAGGAGATGCAAGATTATTTCCAATCTAAAACATCCAAATTGACAAAGTATTACTTATATATTAATTTATAAAGCAATATATATTCTGATGATGATCAAAACATATATGTAAAGTTTGGTATGGGTAGGTTGGTGGTGGGAACTTGTTTGTCTTTGTAATGTCTTTGTATTTTTTGTATTGTCTTTATATCTCTGTTTAAAACTCAATAAAAAAATTTTTTTTAAAAAAAAAAGAAGTTTCTGATACAGGAACATATGTACAACTCTCAACTGAGTAATTAGAGAAAGTGCTTCAGAGAATAAGATTGAAAAACATACGTATTATTTATCTTTTCTGTCTCTCTATTATGTATCCTTATCCTGAACTGATTATGTTATGTCAAATATTATATGCTTGCTTATTAAGAAGTATAGAACGTTACCTACTGAAAAAAATGAAACAGATGGGAAACAGTGGAAGTTTCTGCATGGAAAAACTTCCAAAGGGGGAAATAATATAGAATAATGAAATTGGATATAAAAGTGAAATAATATGGGGTCAGCCTAGAGGATCTCTGAAGGGCCCGTTTAACTAGGAAATATAAGAGACAAATACTGGGTTCAAAAAGTTAAACCGCAAGGTTACTCAAACCACAGGTTAGCTCATCATTCTACAGTTGGAGAGTTCAAGAATTCAAACCGCAGAGGCACTTATGTCAAAATGCAGAACTAATCCACATGGAGTTTCCTGCTTAAGAAACAAAGGAAGGCTAGCTAAAGAGTATGGTGTAGCAATAAGGGGGGGGGCTGTGGGCTGTCAGAACTGTAACCAATCATAAGATGTTAAAAGTATGTATAAGAGTAACTGCATCAGAACCCTTCGGGGTTCAGTTTTTGCTTCTTGTGTTGCCACTGAACCTTGCGCAATAAACCTTTTCTGTTTGATCCTGGAATTCCGTGTCAGTTCCTAGAATTCCATAATAGAAGGGTGTTGTGGCTCCGTTGCCTGAGCCTGGGCTATCGACAGATGCAGACTCTGAGAGTGAGGGAGAGGAGTTGGCAAGGCCTCCCTCTCCAGGACCCTCCTCTCTGGCAATGCCTCCGGAGGACACCGAAGGCCAAACGATAGGCTCAGAGCCAAGCATGTCCCCGCAGCCACAGGTGGACAGCGATGAAGAAGATAAGTGCTGGCTGGACCCTCGGCAGAGGCGCAGGGAGTAGCATGTGCAGCAGAGGGGAAGGCGTGCCAGAGATTAGCTGAGTCACTGGACCACACCCCACAGGGTATAAATGTGGGTGTGGTGGCCGGTTCAGTTTGTGACAAGCAAAAACTGGAAATAATCCATGATCTCTGCGTTACTGGACTTTGCCTGCTTTATCGGAATGCATTTGGATTAATCCTTGTATTGTTGAAACTCTGCCTGTTTTATCGGAATGCTTGCAGTCTAATCTTTGTTTTGTGTGAGTAAAGTCTGAATTGGCAGCTAGCCACTGGGTTGCTGCCAGCTTTATCTTCAAAGAGTTCTGTCATGTGGCTTATTAACTCCGGGCCATCTGTGGGGGTGCGCGTATGGTACGGGGACAGAACAAAGGGATTCAAAAATTAAAGAGCATTGATTACTCACTGCAAGCTTCCATTTCAGCACAGCAACTTCTTGCCAATTTAAGTGAAAGATACCAAAGTACTGCTATCAATACTGCCACCTGTTGGTGATTTATAACATCGGAGCCATTGCTTTTCATCCAACCCTCATATCTCCAGGTCCCATCTCTGCAAACTGTCATTTGGCAGGTCCTTGGAGGTGAACTTTTTCATTGCCTCCCACATTCTTTGGAACTCCCTCCTGGTGGAGCTTTGATCTGCTTTAGGAAACGCAGAACTTTTCCTCTTCTATTGGCACGGAAGAAGGGTATTTTATAAAATGCAGATGGAGTTTGCAACATGTATGCTTTTAATATAAAACTTTGTTCTCTGTATTTAGGTTTATGGTAAAAAATACTAGAGCTTTGGGAGTCTGTGGCATAAATTATAAGAAATAAACAAAAACCCTGTAATTGTAGTTAGAATTTTACATCTAGTTTACAATATTGAGGACAACCTTTTCTTTTAGTCATCCTTAGGTGTATATATTTTGGCAAGGCTTATACTCAACACTGAAAAGAAGCTACTGCCAAAGTCTTCCTTTATTTTCTAAGAGCCAGGATGCTTTTGGATCTGCCAAATAAAGGAGCGCTGGATATAGGAAATAGTAATATTCTAAAATTACTGCATGACTAAAAACTATAAGCTGCATCTCTGAAGTAGTACCTTTTAATTTTTCTCTTGGCCACATTGATGAGAAATGGAATAAAATAAAATAAAATTGATATTCAAGGTCTGAATATTCAAACAACATATCTGCTTGTTCTTGTGTTTGAGAACTATTATTATTTTTCCATAGGCATATTGAAGAAGTAAGAATTCCTGAGGAAGTACTTTGTCCAACAGGTACTGGGCTTTACATAATGTGGCATTCTTTTATTTCTTTTGCTTATGCAGCACTTTTTTCTTCATAGGTTATGTTTGCTTTTCCTCCAATTTGCTTTTGTGTAAATTCCTTGCTTATTGTTCCTTATTTGCCAAAATCAGTTCTCAATTTGTTCTACACCCAAATCTGTAGGGAAAACACTTGGCTCAGATAAAAAGGATACACATTTTTATTAATTGAAGGACCTAATGCAGGGATGAGAATAAGTGAGTGTCCAAATGTTCATAAGCATATAGTTCTCAACATCCTACATTGTTGGTTACTATCTATATAGAATATACAGTATATACAGAATTGTAGTTCAGCATCGGCTTCGCTCATCCTTTTTATATCAATGCAAGGAATTCATCTTTTCCATGTAACCCTTTTTTTCTTTTTTCCCTAGATGGCTTCCAAAAGACTCAGACAAATACTTTTTTTGACAGCCGTACTGGTCTTTGCTGGGTTATATTTTTTGACCAAGTGGACTTCAGTTGGAGAATGCAACTTCTGTCAGACCAAAACTGAGGACGTGTCTTTAAAACAAGGCAAAGGATCTTTTTTGTTGGTACCTCATTCAGATTGTACCCGGAACCCTCCATTTCTCGTCATTCTAGTAACTTCCTCTCCTACTGATTTAAAAGTTCGCGTAATAATCCGTGAGAGCTGGGGCAAAAAAAAATTAATAGCAAATAAATTGATTGTAACCCATTTTCTTTTGGGAACTACCTTGAATCCTGAAGAACAGGTTGCTGTGATTAACGAGAGTCTGAAATATGGAGACATCATCCAGAAGAATTTCATAGATGCCTATTATAATTTAACATTAAAAACTATGATGGGCATTGAATGGATTCACAAATTCTGCTCAGAGTCTAGCTTTGTAATGAAAGCAGACTCAGATGTGTTTGTAAATACTTACTATCTGACCGAACTCCTCCTAAAAAAAATCCAGAATACCAGATTCTTCACTGGCTTTTTAAAACTGAATGAGTATCCAATACGGAAAATATCCAGTAAATGGTATGTGAGTAAACATGAATATTCAAAAAATGCATACCCTCCTTTTTGTTCAGGGACTGGCTATGTTTTCTCAACAGATGTTGCTAGTCTGGTATATAGTATTTCTGACAGTATTCCCTTTATTAAGCTGGAGGATGTATTCATAGGCTTATGCCTTGCTGAACTTGATATCAAATTGGAAAACCTCCATTCCAAGCAAACCTTCTTCCCTGAAAGGCTTGAATTTTCACCCTGCCGCTTTAAGAAAATTGTGATGAGCCATTTTGTGAAACCTCATGAGCTGATGATCTATTGGAATGCACTGGAGAGATCCATGGATGAAAAATGCCCTGATGGCTGAAATCCTTCTGAACTGGGGGCAGATGGTTTTGTTGAGGAAATGTGTCAAAATTATCTTCAACTAGGCCAGCAACAGGCAAAAATCTGAAATACTCAATTTTTTTCTTAGAGATTTCATAGTTCATTTAACCAGTTTCTGCACAGGCAGAATGTTTGGATTTTAATTCCTAGAATGCTTAGCAATGGCTATGCTGGCTGGGCATTTCTGGGAACTGAAGTCCACCCATCTTAAAGTCAGGAAACATTGATTTAACTAAAAGGGTTTTGGCTACACTGTTTGTAGCCAAATAGTGTTCGTGTCAGGTTTCGATGTCATCTCAAATAAATTGCACTCCCAAACAATTAATCTTTGCTGAAATATTCCATTTATTGAATACGACAGATCTGGCCCCGACTTCGTCGTAGCCGATACTAACCCGCTGACCCCCAAACCCTTCCCTTTACGTTCCCCAATTCTCATCTTCTCATTGGCCATCTTCCAAGTCAGTCTCCCCATCTTCTGACCTCAGCCCACAGGAATGTCCCCCCTCCCGTCCCATCTCCTAGGGGATATTATCTACAGAGAAAATAAGTAGGTGAAAAGTCAAGCCTCGTTTCCTCCTTTTTATGGCAGCATCAGAATGCTGACAGTTTGTTGGCTAAGAAACAAGTCTTATATTTAAGTCTTATATTTAATTGGCTTACTCCCTAATTAAATTGCATAATATTTGCCTTTAAGGTTGCAAATTGAAAATCACTAATAACATTACCCTTTTAAATTTAACCACATTTTGTTATTTTTATCAACAAACGTTTTCCACCACTGTTACTAATAATGTTATGTAATGATATCTGGTAAAGATCTTGGGAGAGAGGGCAAAAAGCACGGAAACTGCTTTGGTCACACTGATGGATGATCTCTGGCGAGCCCGAGATGGGGGTCATTCCTCCATCTTGGTGCTACTTGACCTCTCAGCGGCTTTCGATACCATTGACCATGGTATCCTTCTGGGACGACTAAGGGAGTTGGGAGTGGGAGGCACCGTGTTATGGTGGTTCTTCTCCTATCTCTCTGGTTGGTCACAGTCGGTGTTGGTAGGAGGACAGAGGTCGACCCCTAGACCCATCATTTGCGGGATGCCTCAGGGCTCGGTCCTCTGTCCCCTTCTATTTAACATCTACATGAAGCCACTGGGTGAGATCATCCGACAACACGGGGTGAGATATTAACAGTACACTGATGATACCCAGCTGTATATCTCTACCCCGCGTCAATTCAGTGATGCAGTAGATGTGATGTGCCGGTGCCTGGAGGCTGTGAGGGTCTGGATGGGAGTCAACAGGCTCAGACTTAAGCCAGACAAGACCGAGTGGCTGTAGGTACTGCCTCCTAAAGACTATGTTGATTGTCCATCCTTGGTTCTGGGGGGGTGGAGAAATTGTCCCCCTCAGAATGGACTTGCAATTTGGGTGTCCTCCTAGACTCACAGCTAAGATTAGAGCAACATCTGACAGCTGTGGCTAGAGGGACCTTTGCACAAGTTCGCCTGGTGCACCAATTGCGACCCTACTTGGATCCGGAGGCTCTCCTCACAGTCATTCATGCCCTTGTCACCTCACGGTTAGATTATTGCAACACGCTCTACCTGGGGCTACCCTTGAAAAGTGTTCAGAGACTACAGTTGGTCCAGAATGCAGCCGCGCGAGCTATCGTGGGTGCACCTAGATACACCCACATTACACCAATTCTCCGCGAGCTCCACTGGCTCCTTATTGGTCTCCGGGCACAATTCAAGGTGTTGGTTATTACCTTTAAAACCTACATAGCTCAGGGCCAGGTTATCTTCGAGACCGCCTTCTACCACATAGCTCCCAGCGACTGGTAAGATCCCACAGAGTTGGTCTCCTCCGGGTCCCGTCAGCTAAACAATGCCGGCTGGCGGGCCCACGGGGGAGGGCCTTCTCTGTGGCTGCCCCAGCTCTCTGGAACCAGTTACCTCCTGAGGTCCGGATCCCCCCCCCATCCTATTGGCCTTCCGAAAAGCGGTGAAGACTTGGCTTTTCCAGCAGGCCTGGGGCCGTTGATCTCGCTGTTGCAATCTTGTGAGATCCAGCCATGAATGGTGTGAATGGGTTTTAATGTTTTAATTTTTAAATGTTTTTATAATGATTTTTTTTTTTAAATGCATTGTAAGCCGCCCTGAGTCTCCGGAGAAGGGTGGCATATAAATTGAATTAATAAATAAATAATAAATAATAGAGATGCTGCCTAGGGAATGGTCAGATAAAAGGCATCGTAATCTGCGCCGGTAGGATGGGGAAAGAGGCTCAGAAGAGACCCTCCCTATTTCTAGGGGGTAAAGGAGGTGGGAGGAGAACTGTATTTTCAAACTTGCAAGGTTCTGTTAATGTAGTCTAACAATAAAGTAGAATTAGTTGATCTGGTTGTGTTTTCTGTTTATCTGGTAAGGTTGATATATTAACACAAATCGAGGATGCTGTAAAGTTCCCGTTTACTAATGTATGTTAACTGCATTTGTAGTTATTTTATACAGGTAGTCCTCAACTTACAACAGTTTAGTTAGTAACTGTTCCAAGTTACAGCAGCACTGAAAAAGTGATTTATGACTGTTTTTTACACTTACAACCATTGCAGCATCCCCATAGTCCTGTGATCAAAATTCAGACGCTTGGCAACTGACTCATATTTATGACAGTTGCAGTGTCCTAGGGTCATGTAATCACCTTTTGCGATCTTCTCACAAGCAAAGTCAGTAGGGAAGCTAGATTCACTTAACAACCATGTTATTAACTTAAGAACTGCAGTGATTCACATAACAACTGTGGCAAGAAAGCTCATAAAATGGGGCAAAATTCACGTAACTGTCTCACTTAAGCAACGTAAATTTGGGGGGGAGGGGGTCAATTGCAGTCATAAGTCAAGGACCAACTGTATTTATTTGATATAAATAATATTTGACCATTTACTGGATAATCATTCTAAGTCAAGAGTGTTTCTATTAGCAGAATCAGGAAGAAGAAATTTCTTTCTCCTGCAGCCTGACCCCCCCCTCCACCTGCTACATATCAGATTTCTCTGGAGGATGGGAAAAACTGTTCCAGTAGCAAAAGGTAACTTAGGGAGCTGTTGGGAGACAAGAAGAGAAGAATGGCCCATTCTTCCTCTAAGGATTGGACAGGGTGAGGTTGGAGCCTGGGGACTGTATAATTGGATATAATGGAGAGTGTGGGTTGAGCTATCAGCTTTTTAGTTTCAAGTCTGATAATGTTTTTATTACTATTGCTGTTGTTATTATGAGTCATCCAGAGATTGCTGGATGGTTATATAAATCTTTTGAATATATAAATGAATATATAGAAATATAGGTAAAAGCAAAGAGGTGTATTTTATTTAAAAAAATGTCCCAGTCATCTGAGACAATTGAAATAGTGCATTTAGAATTCAGATGTAAAGTTCTTCAGTCGTTGCACATAAATGAATGATTCTGTTGATTCCAATGAGATGCTAAACAATTACATTTTTAACTGGCAAATTTTGAATATTTTTTTCAATTTTCATTCAATGAAGTGCTGGAATGTCTATTTTATTAAAACAAAACACATGGCTGAAAATTCAATCGTAACTTCCACCAAACTTACTTCCAAGTTGGCCCTTGGATAGAATTAGATGTACAGATATTTGTGAAAAACCAAATGTACAAAATATTTCTTTTTTTAAATGGACAAGTCCAATTACTGACAAAGAAGGAAGTTTATGTGAATCAGGAAAATATCTATCCTTAACATTCTCAAACATGTAAGTGGTTGCTATTAACATGTTTCAACATTGGCTTTCAAGCTGATTTGATTTGAAATATTCAAGAGAGCAGCAAAGCTGATGCCATTCAGAGTCAATGCTGATTTACAGGAACTAAAATCCAAAGTCTCTATGTTGGGGGAAAGTATAATAAATATTTTAAGAAGCTATATTTTTAAAGGTTTAATGCGACCATGTTTAATTGCAGGTATCTTGGGCAAGCCATATTTATAAGAACTTATGAAAAAGAGAGTTTAATTTAAAAAATAAGAAAAATATTCTAAGATTGGACAAGGATTGACTAGCTGTGCATATTTTGGACATCTAAAGTAAACTAACGAACAATTTGAGTAGAAAGGATATTTTATACATATAATAATATCATTTCCAAATATTCATATCAGAAGCTTATATTACATTGTTTGTAAGACATGTATATTCTATTATGTGAACATAGAAACTGTAATGTTTAAAGTATTATATTAAATAAAATGCTTTTTCTACTCTTGGATATTACATTGTATTGCTTTGGGATGCTTATATTTTCCTTGAGCATTTAGTTGCATATTTGCATTTTGCATTTTTTTTCACATCCAACCTATGTATTTTACATCATTCACAGCCTCACTATAAAATTCTTGAAAATAAAATCTCCAATGATGTACCTGAGTTCTAAATGTGTTTCCTAGGGCAAGGAATAACAACAGTTACCCCAATTTAATTTAATTTTTCAGATTTATTCAATAAAAAAATGCTTTACTTACAAAATCTCCATTCTAGTGTGTTTCAAGGAAAATATATTTTTTCAGTGGAATATAAATGACTGAAATGATATCTTTATAATTCATGCATCAACATTCTTGATGAGAAATAGCAGTTCTTCCTCCTATCCTTCAAGGCCATTCTCTCTTCCTGCTACATCCAGGCATCTTTTCTTGTGTTTCATCTCCTAGCCTTCCTCAGAAAACCGAGGCTCTTTCAGATTGGTGTTTGAGTAAGGGCATTAACCGAAAGTAAGAGGCTGGGTTCCATATTTAAACTGACCAATTTCTTCGACAGAATATTTATATTTATAGAATCAAATCTGCAAGGGCTGCAATGGACACTCATGCACCCTCTCCACCCAGCAGCAGCCCTTCAATGCTTGCACTGCTTGCATACCCAACCCCTCCTGGTAGCAGCCACCCCTAGCCATGCCATGCCTCATTGGCCACTTGTGCATGACTCCTTCAGCCCTGCTGCACTCAGTTTACACCTCACTGGCCACTTACACCTTCTCATGCACCACTCGGCAGCAGCCGCTAATCTGTCTACAGGTCTGTTTGCAAACCATCTGGGACTTGCAACTTCCTGTTGGTTTCCCCACTGACTTTGCTTGTTCGAAGCCAGCAGGAAGTTGTGAGTAGCTTCTTTCTTAATGACCTGCAATTTTCAGTTAATAACGGCAATGGGGACTTTTGAGATTGCTGTTGCTAAACAATGCAATCACATGAAATTGCCCTTTACAACAGCATCCCTTAGTGATAGAAATTCCCACTCCAATTACCGTTGTTAACTGATAATGTGATATTCAGAAACACCGGATTTCGAAATTATTTAAAGGGAAGAATAGCATGAAGTTATAAAGACTGTAGTGTTGCAGAAAAATAATGAATGAATTGAATTTTGAGATCAGAAAAAGCTTTTATTTATTTTGGTCAAAAGGTTCAGACATGCATTCTGTTTACATTCTGAACAAAGACCTTGTTTAAGACACGTATCTTTATAGTAACAAAAAACAGGAAGTATCTGAGATCTGCCTCTTTAGCTAGCCCCCTCCTTTATTCCTTAGGCAGGAAAGCTCCATGTGGTTTAGTTCTGCATTTTAACATAGTACCTCTGCGGTCTGACTTTTTGAACTCTCCAACTGTAGAAAGTGTGTTAACTCTGCGGTTTAACTTTTTGAACCCAGCATTTGTCTCTTATATTTACTAGTTAAAGGGGTCCTTCAGAGATACTCCAGGCTGACCCCGTATTATTTCACTCTTATATTCAATTTCATTTTACGTTCTGTCTTAATAGATTAGAGAAACTGAAAACAACATCTCTGAATTCAGTGGCAAACTACTATTACAATCCTCTCCCCACAATACCCTACATGCATGTATGTATCCATCAGCATATGGATTATCAAAAACAGAGTTCAGTCAAAGCAATATTTATTGTACATTGAAAGTATTTGTATTTATGAATTTTATTACGTTATGTCCTGGAATCTCAGCTTTATTATTAGCCTTTTAATAAAGTGATGATAAGGCAGGACGTAAAGTGAAATTTGGTTATAAGAGTGAAATAATACGGGGTCAGCCTAGAGGTTCTCTGAAGGACCCCTGTGACTTGAGAAAGTTGCAGAGTTCAAAAAGTTAAACCGCAGAATTAACACACTTTTTACAGTTGAAGAGTTCAAGAAGTAAAACCACAAGAAATTAACTAATCTTCCTGTTCAGGCAATAATGGGAGGAGGGGGAGAGCCTAACACGTAGGAGGTTTATTTCACATTTCCTGTTTTTGTTCTATAAAGATACGTGTCTTAAAGAAGGGTTTTTGTCCAGAATGTAAACAGAATGCATGTCTGAACCTTTTGGCCAAAATAAATAAAAGCTTTTTCTGATTTCGAAATTCATCTCTTTTAGTTTTCTGCGACAATATCAGCATTTTAGCATGGCATCCATGTCTCCTCTTGAAGTTCAGGAAACCATCTCTTCTTTTTAGCCAAATATATTTTTTTAATATGCAAAAACTAGTCAATTCATAAACTAAACAATAGGGGAAAATATTCTGGAATCCATGAGTGTTGTAAGCGTTGAAGAAACAAGCCTGGACACGAAACATAATTTTAAGAGTGTCTGTCTTTTTTCATTTCTAATTAATGTCTATTATTATTTGACTTATTACTTTCTGACACATCACATATACCAAATGAACGTATCATTTGTTTCTGACTTGACATCCCTTCTTATTTTCAGGTGGGTGAAGAAGATTCTTATCAGCTCCATGCCAAACTCAGGATGCCTCAGTTTCTAGGTAACAATGTTGGGGGACCCCTATAATCCTATTTAGGGGTCTCCATGATGGAATGGGGGAGGGTCAGAAAAGTTAAGATGGTGGCAATGACATTGTGATGGAAACCCAGTCTCTCTTGTTCATGTCCTGCATGTGACTTGCAAAAAAAGAGCAGGGCTTTGATCAGGGCAGGGCAGGGCAGGGCTGAGTCACGGCTCAGTTTTGACTTTTTCTGATTCTCTTCCAATCCTGTTCCCAGTTATTGGGAAGTAAGTAGCTCTGAAACATGTATGTATGTAAAATGTATGTATATAAAGAGGAGGGGGGGGAGGAGAGATTGACTAATTTTTGGTATAAATTGCCAGATAATAGTAATAGAAAACACCAATACCTAGGGTGGAAGGCAACAGGTTAGAAAAGACTGTAGCTCAAATACATTTGTTTCCTTTTAAGTATTCAACACTCTTGTAAGTCCCAAATATTTTGAGTGAAATTAGGTCCTGTGGAAAGCCTGTGTAGTATAGGTTTGCCACATTTTAAACAGATCTATGGATGAAAACAGAGATAATTCTATAATCTTTGTCCACTCACCATATTTGACCCTCTTTTTTACTTCTGATTCTGTTAACTCTTTAAAAAAAACAAGAATGTTATCATATCCTGAGTCTGGGGAAATTGTTTTGTGCTGACACAAGCTTCTACCTGCTACTTTAGGCGGCCCGGCCTAGATTTCCCATCAGGAGGCTCTTCTCTTCCTGGGAGAGAAGAAAGATGGTTTCCCCTGTCCTGAAGAGACTTCAAGCGGCTACAAAGAAAGTGGGTCTTTCACTGTCTAAAAGGCAATGAGCAAAACATTAAAGCGTAGGGACGGATTATGAGAAGCAAGGGTGGGCCAGGGTAGAAGTGAAGGGCTTGGTGGGTTGCAGAGGTGGGGCCTACTGTAACTAGGCCTGAAGGGAAAGATTTATGGAGCCAATCTCCTTGGGAAATTTTACTTAGAATTTCTCTGTAGAGAATCATAGGAGGAGGAGTGCAATTGTGGCCAACATCTCCTGTAAAAAAGATGGTAAAACTATACAAATATTCTGTTTTGTTTTAATGTTCAGGAGTACAGGTAATTCTCGACCTACAACAGTTTATTTAGTGACAGTTCAAAGTTACAACGGCACTGAAAAAAGTGACTTATGACCATTTTTCACAGTTACAACCTTTGTAGCATTCCTACGATCACATGATCAAAATTCAGATGCTTGGCAACTGGTTCATACTTACGACCATTTGCAATCTTTTGACAAGCAAAGTCAATGGGGAAGCCAGACTCACTTAACAACTGGCTTACTAATTTATCAACTGCAGTGATTCACTTAACAACTGTGGCTGGCAAGAAAGGTTGTAAAATGGAGCAAAATTCACTTAACAAATGTCTCACTTAACAGAAATTTTGGGCTAAATTATGGTTATAAATCAAAGTCTACCTGTGCATTCCTTTCTTATTTTTTTTTTCCTTTTCATTTTAAAGCCAGTTGTTTCTTTGCCAATCACTGAAAACTATTAAAACTAAACCTTACTTTTTTTCAGTGCAGCTTTCAAGCTATTCATTGAGGAGGATGAAAAATTCATGTTTGCATTTAAGGTGCAAGTTTAAATATGCAGTTAGTTTTAGGGTGGGACAGGCGACATTCATATACATACAAGGAATTCTTGTAATTACATTTTCCTCCCTGGTAGATATGAAAATATAACTTGTGTGTACAGTACACACATTTAAATAACAGATCCATCTTAAAAGCCCTTTTATTTCAATCTGCTACTCTAAACTTGAAGGAATCAATTTTGAATAAAGCCCCCACTATTCGGATAAGCAACTCTTTGAGCTGAATAAAAACTTACTGAATGTATTGATTTACTTAATATATATGTGTGTGTGTAGCTCAAATCTAGCAAGATTCAAGAGTGGATTATATTTTCTTCTTACAGTAAAAATGTTAAAACAAATATGGTATAATAAGATAACAAATTGTGGCATAAAATGAAAGCAATAAACTTTAATAACAAGGAAACTAAGGCCATTGAAACAAGTATTATCATAGAATATTTTATAGAGCTTTATTTAAAAGCCAGGATCACTTCACTCGTGCGCTTCTGTGCATGCACAGATCGCCTATGATGCGCTTCGATCGCAGTGGAGATCTTGGTGCCGATCTGCGATTTTAAAATGGCGGAGGAAGCCGCCACCGCCGCAAGTGCTGGAACCAGCACGCCCACCTCGACTCCAGCTTTCTTGGCCCCGACAAAACTGATTCAGGAGCCACCTCTTGTCAGCGCCCCGCAGCCAAGAAAGCTAAGGACAAGACCAAGCATCGGGTAGCCTCCCTGAAGTCCTCCAAGTCTTCAGAGGCTGATGCAGCCAGGCGGCACAAGGCGATCGATAAGCAGATCGAAAAAGCCGTGAGGAAAACGGGCGAGCAGCAGACCATCTCGCAGGTGCCCCTGGATAGGGATAATCATTCCCACCTTTTTGCGCTGCAGTCAGAGCCGCTTGTGGATTTTGACAGCCACCCGGCATTGCAATGGTCGCCAGATTGTGCTAGTGAGCTCAGGGAGTCTAATCTGCCCGGCAACAAGGAGCCTTTGCTCATTTTAGCCCCTCAGCCTTCTCAGGGAACTTCTGCCCGGCAACAGGCTGTCAGACAGGGCCCTGCTCAAGGGGAGGCTCCCTTCCCTCCAGGTGCAGCTGGCCTTAGAGCAGAATAACTGTCCCCATGTATGGCAGACATAATTGCTGCTGCGATTTCAAAGGGGATAGCAGCTGATCTTCAGCAGGGCCAAAGATCTACCCCCCTACAGGCCTCCCCCTTACAATCGGTTGAGGCTGATGAACTTGCTCATGCCCAGGGCTCTTATTCGCCCAGCCACTCCCACCATTCCTCTGAGTCTGAGGAGGAGACAGGCAGAGACCTAGACTTTTCAGAGGATGAGGGCCTACTGCCTGAGCAGCCAGCATTTTCAGGGCTTTTTAAGCCTGCAGTGTTTAAATCATTGCTGTTTAAGGCCAGAAAATCTACCAATATGATTCTGGCCCCTGCTTTCTTGGAGCCTGCCCCGGGTCCTTCTGACATGACAGGCTCTTTATTTTCCGAGCCGGTTTGTGAGGCTGAGGTGGTACCATCTCCTCACCTTTTCTTAGACGTGGTCAAATGCCAGTGGTCCACGCCAGCGACTGGGCCTAACCCTGGTTCGCTGAATAAAAGACTTTATAATGTGGTGTTATAGGAAAAATGACGGACTAGAGCAAGCTCTTCAATGCAGGAAAGAGTTTATTGCGCAAGGTTCAAACAGTCCAAAGACAGCGAAGGGTCTGAACAAAGATGGCTGATTTTGACCAGATATTTATACAGTATAAAGGCAAAATTATTACGAAGAGTGCGACATTTCACACGTAGAAGTTACCCTTTATCTCTAGGAAAGACATAACAGCCCTGTTCCCACAGGCTCAGGTTTTCAGCTCCGGAGCTCAAGACATAATAAAAGGAGATAAGGGGCTCAAAGGCGCCTCACAAGCAGTAAAGAGGACAGTAAGGAAAACAGTATTTCCTCTCTAGAATCTACATGACATTTGGGGTGCAATAAACATTAAACAACAGGATGTATCTGTTTAGGGTCAGTTTGCCCTTTTACAATTCTGTACCTACATCAAATACCGTTTGTCATCTCAGCACCTTGGCACGGAAGAGGCACTTCTGTCTTGACCAAAGATTTGGATTTCTAATAATTGAGTTTTATCCCAATATCGAATCTTAGCCTAGCTCAGTGGGGCCCAAGTTGATGCAGGCGCTGATCCTGCCTTCAATTGATGCACCTGTAGCGGCCTTGGTGGCACAAAATGTTATCCCAGAGATGCCTGAGGAAGCTCTTAAACCTGAGGAAAGGAAGTGTGAGCAGACCATTAAGAAAACACATCACGCAGCCGCCTGGACCATCCGGGCTGCCACATCAGCTTCGTTCTTTAATCTGGCGTCCCTCATTTGGCTGAAGCAACTGCAGGACAGGATCCTGGTGGGGGATGCCAGAGCACACCAGGACCTGAACAAGTTGCAGGTGGCTCTGGAGTACTCAGCAGATGCTAGCGCCTCTAGCTGCACATCTCCGGGCTAAGCCCGTGTGCGATCAGTGCTATCTGGATGATATCCTTGTCCAGTCCTCCTCTGTGGAACAGGCTTATGCAGATCTAGGGCTTACCATCCGGGTGCTTCAGGAGCACGGATTTTCCATCAATGTCAGCAAAAGTCATTTAACACCGGCTACCCAGTTGCTGCATTTGGGGGCGGTAATAGACATCAGAGAGTGCAGGGTGCATCTTTTCCAGGAGCGACAGGATAGTATCATAGAACTGGTGGGTAGAGTCCAGCAGGAGTGGCTCGTTCCTCTGTCGCTGCTTTCTACGCTCCTGGGCAAGATGATTTCTTGCATTTCCATAGTGCCCTGGGCCCGTTTACACGCCAGGGCTCTACAATGGACTGGTAGGAGCACTACGTTGTCTAAGGTCAGGGTGCCCCAGGTTATATTGGGTTCCCTAAAATGGTGGGTTTCTGAGGTTCTCGCTCAAGGTTGCCTATTTAAAGAACCAGACTCCCTAGTTCTCACAACCGATGCCAGCCTCTTTGTCTGGGGGGCTCACTTTCAGAATCAGGTGGCCCAGGGCCAGTGGTCGCAGGTGGACCTTGTCCATAGCATTAACTGGCTTGAGCTAAGGGCTGTGCATCTTGCTCTGCAGCACTTCACGGCCTTCATGGCAGGTAGTTATGTGCTGATTCGGACGAACAATGTCGCCACCAAGGCGCATATTAACAGGCAGGAGGGTACCCTATCCTGGGACCTGATGCAGGAGGCTGAGCAGCTCTGCCTTTGGGCTGAGTGGTTCCAGGTGACACTGAGAGCCGAGCATATTACAGGGGCTGCCAATGTATAGGCTGATTGGCTCAGCAGGGCCACCATTGATCATGCAGAGTGGCACCTGCATCCAGATTTATTTCAGGAGCTGTTGGAGTGCTTCGGGAGGCCTGCTGTGGATCTCTTCACCACCGCAGACAATGCCCAGCTGCCACGATATTATACCAGGTTTGCAGTTCCCGGGATAGAGGAGGTCGATGCACTCCGCAGTCCCTGGCTTTGGGAGTTCCTGTACACATTCCCCCCTCTCCCTCTTTTCCCGAAGGTGGTCCAAAAGATTTTGAAAGAAAGGGCGGAGGTGCTACTCCTGGCCCCTTACTGGCTGTGCCAGCCATGGTTTGCAGACTTGGTCGCTCTTTCGGTGGCCCAGCCTTGGAGGTTGCCAATGGGCAGAGCCTCCCTCAGCCAGGGGGCAGTGGTGCATCCAGACCCTCAGTGGCTGCAGTTAACCGCCTGGCGCTTGAGCAGCAGTCGCTCAGCTGAGACAATTACCCCCCAAGGTCATAGACATCATCCAGGCTTCCAGGCGGCCTTCCACGAACAGGATTTATGATGCCACCTGAAGGCCTTTTGTTCCTGGTGTTCTCAATCAGGCTTGAACCTGACCGAGGTATCTGTGCCCCAGGTGCTGGCCTTCCTTCAGAGGGGGCTTAACATGGGTCTATCGCCCAACACCATCTGTCGTCTGGTGGCTGCCTTGTCGTCGGTCTTCTCCTGTGGTGAGCTGGAATCCCTGTCTCAACATCCTGCTGTTCGCCGCTTCCTCAAGGGCGCTTCGAACCTGCGGCCTCCGATGGTTCACCATTTTCCCACTTGGGACCTTTCCAAAGTGCTTCAAGCATTGACTGTGGCCCCATTTGAGCCACTATGGGGGGTCACGCTCCGCTTCCTGTCCTTCAAGGTGGCCTTCTTGGTGGCCATTACTTCGGCAAGGAGGATTTCAGAATTGGCAGCACTTTCTGTCAGACATGACCTTTGTGTGTTTCACCCTAACCGGGTGGTCTTCCATTTGGACCCTTCTTTCCTCCCAAAGATTAATACGTGGTTTCATAGGGCCCAGGAGTTAGTCCTGTCTGATTTTTGTCCCAATCCCAGGCACTCTATGGAATGGAAGTGGCACATGCTTGACGTTAGAAGGGCACTCCGGATTTATGTTAAACGCACTTCCTCCATTAGGAGGATGGAGTCACTCTTTGTTTCCTTCCAGCCTGCCACCTTAGGGGCTAAGGTGACCTCTTCTAACCTGGGCTGCTGGATTCGGGCATGTATCGCCAGGTCTTATGAGGCTCAGGTCCTTCCTTTTCCCCAGAGTATTATGGCACACTCCACGAGGAGTGCGGCCACAAGTGCGGCGTGGGCAACGCAGGCCTCTCTGGAAGAGGTCTGTCGTGCAGCTAGCTGGTCTTCCCCATCGCCCTTTATCAGGCACTATAAGATAGACAGCTATGCATCGGCTGAGACGGCCTTTGGTAGGTGGCAGTGTGCACACTGATGTTGGGGCCTCGGGCCAGGCTGCAGCCCACCCGTAGGGGCATTACCGCTTTGGTATGTCCCATTTCTGGATGCTGCCTCCACTATGACAGAGAAGGAGAGTTGGTCCTACCTGATACGATCCTTCTCGTTGAGTGGAGGCAGCATCCAGCCCCTCCCTAGCTTAGGGCTGGCCCTCGATTGCCCTAGGGATAGCAGCTGAGCTGACCACGAGGAGTCTGTCACTTCATCTTCGCCAAAAGCTGGACCGTTGGTAGGGGGGGGGTGTCCTCACAGCTTTGACAGACCCAGTCTCATTGGCCAATAGACGAGACAAACCCATTTCTGGATGCTGCCTCAACTCAACGAGAAGGATCGTATCAGGTAGGACCAATGCTCCTTCTGTTTGATCTTATATGAAGGGCAGAAGACATTTTTAAAGCCATATAAAGCTTTAAAGACAACAACCAGCACCTTGAATTGTACTTGGAAGCTGGCTAATAATGACAGTAGTCCTTGATTTCTGTTGCTAAGCAAAGTTGTTAAGTGAGTAACTCCTGATTTTATAATTCTTTTAGTTGCTAAACAAATCACTGCAGTTGTTAAATGAATCAATAATTGTTAAGTGAATCTGGCTTCAGCCATTGACAGAATCTGACTGGGAAAATCGCAAATGGTGATCATATTATCCTGGGATGCTGCTACCATTATAAATGCATTTTGGTTGTCAAGTGACCAAATGCTGATCACATGATCTTGGGGATGCTCTGTGGTGGATTCAACCGGTTCTCACCAGTTCAAGTGAACCGGTTGTTAAGTTACACACACACACACACACACACACACACACACACACACACACTATCGAAGTGGATTCTGGGCGCTGCACTGCAATGGAGAAATATGCAATGGAGTGGTCAGCATGAGGGAAGGGAAGGCTGCTTTCCCTCCTCCTTCCCTCATGCCGGCTGCTCTGTTGCCCATTTCTCCATTGCAGCGCAGCGCCCAGAATCCACTTTGATGGTGGTGGGGGGTAATTTAACAACTGGTTTGGCCATGGACAGGTTGGCCTTTGCAGGAGGCTCGTCCTGCATGTGTGGCAGAGCTTGAGGGGATGGGCCATGCTTCCCACGACAGCCAACTGTGGTGAACCGGTTGTTAAATTATTTGAATCCCAATGCTCTAACTCTTGTAAATATCATTACAGGTTGTAAGCCACTTTTTCAATGCTGTTGTTTTATATATATATTTCCTTAATAATGTGATTCTAGCACCCATATTTTGTTATTTTTTTTTACCAGCAAAGTTATTTATATTCTCATAATCCTGTTAATATATTGCTTTGTTTGGATTTCAAATCTACATACTGCAATATAATTTTTTAATCAATCTGTATCTACCAGCCATGTTTTTATTGTTTAACTTTACATTTTATTGACCATTTCATCACCATCAGAAAAATGGTTTTGAAGAATGGCAATTAAAATGGTTTTAATTAATTAATAACCGAATATATGTATTTATATGTACATATATATTAATTTTCTTCTTTTTCAGATTTCTTTCAAGCTACAGTTTCTTATTTATCTTCTTTTGTTGGTCCTGGCTTGTTTGATCACAATCATCCTCTTGAATTATGTTATCACATTTATTACGAAGGAAAGTTTTTTGGAATTGCCTGATATAAATTGCCATAAGAATCCTCCATTCCTAGTAATATTGGTATCATCAGAACTTGGTGAGAGAAAGGCCCGGATGATAATTCGTAAAACATGGGGAAAGAAAAGAATATTAGCTGACAAACTGATTGTAACATTTTTTCTCTTGGGAAATCATTTCTGGCCATATAAATCATTTAATGTGACGATGGAAAGCTTACATTATAAAGATATAATCCAAAAGAATTTTATAGATTCATACAATAATTTAACATTAAAGACTTTAATGGGCTTTGAATGGATTCATAAATTCTGTCCACAAACTACTTTTGTAATGAAAACTGATTCTGATATGTTTGTGAATGTCTATTATCTGATAGAACTTCTTCGGAAACGAAAGAGTACTAGCCAGTTATATACAGGTTCTATAAAAATTAATGAAAAGCCAATAAGAAATCCAGACATAAAGTGGTATATAAGTGAAGAGGAATATCCAGAAAAAGTTTACCCTCCCTTTTGTTCAGGAACTGGTTATGTTCTCTCCTCTGATGTTGCTAGTCAAGTTTATATAGTTTCAAAACACATCACTGTTCTTAAATTGGAAGATGTTTTTATAGGTATGTGTGTTGCAAAACTTAAAATCCAACCTGAAAAACTTCATTCAGAACCTGTCTTTTTTCCAGAAAAAGTTGTTTTTTCTCTTTGTCACTACATGAAAATTGTTACAAGCCATTTTACTACTCCTAGTCAAATCCTTATTTATTGGACTGCACTGGAAAGATATATGGATGAAAAATGTTCAAATGTTCAAAAACCTTTACAACTAGTGTACGGGAATTATGATGGGTAAACTTGATTAGAAGCATACTGAAATTCACTTGTACTATGGTTCTGTTGGGGTCTGTTTAGAAATCAATCCCATTGAGATCATTTGGATTGCCACCTGCTTAAATGTCTATAGTTTTGTAACTTTTCTGCATGTAACATAGGTTCATTTACTATAAAGATTATAAACTGTGTTCTATATTTATTTAAATAGCCCCATTGCTGTGTACACAGAAAAGTTTTCTCTTTTAAGCATTTTGAAATTTTCCAGTAGAAAGATAATTTAAAGGTTTTTTCAATGAAACTTGTGAAGAAAAATGCCAGGTATTGTTAATTCAAGGGGATCAGCAAATGTAGAGATTACCAACATTTTAGTAGAAAACAAATAGATGCTGAAGTTGTATAAGATGATACAGAAAATGAAAATTAGTATTTTGCAAGAAATTGTGTTCAAAAAATTATAACCAAGATTTCATAAAAGCACTGTTGTCCCATGTTTGTCAAGTTCTACATTTTGTGTTATTATAATATGCTTCTGTAGAACTTACAAAAAAATCAAATAAACCAATAAATATTTATTTATAAACAGTGATTTATTCTTTGTTTTATATATAAAAATGTGTAGCTTTTTCATATGATGTGGCTATACTCTTTATTTTTGAAACTATCTTTCTTCAAAATTAAAATTAACATAGCTAACCTTTTATCTGTTTGTCAAATCAGAGGTTTTGGATAGCAGATGTTCACTACACTGAGATCTCTTGTTCTTTCAAGAAAAAACAATGTTGAAAAATAAACTTTCCACTGACTGTGAGTAAAACTTCCTATACAGTTTCCTCATATCCTTTGGAAGCAAACAGTTCTATACAGTATTAACACTTAAATCATAAGAGCTCAAGTAAGGAGTATGTCAGCACACTTATTTCTTTCTCACCCAACTCACTTTGTGTCCTGGACTGAGATCTACCAATTAATCCAGTACCCAAGAACACTTTTCTGAGTTTCTGCTTTTGGTAGCCTAGCTGTCCCACCTTTCATTGATGTCTCTAGCAAATCTAAGATATGATTAGGATATTGATCTAAAATATTTTAGGAATATCACTAACAGATGTGGAACCCAAATTTTCCAGAAATCCCTACAGACACTGTTTAACTCAGAATATCTCTGCTAAACCCAGCTTCAAAATGTCACGAAATATCTCCCACAGATTTTACTTCAAGGTACCTAAGTTGATTTTAACAGAATTATCACCATTAAACCTTGTGCAAAATATTTCCATCTTTACTAAGATTTGCTCCAAGATATCTTAAAATTATTATACTTTACTCAACTTGATATGATTAGCCATAAGATTCAAGTAGTTCTTCTTTAAGTTTGGCAAGCTGTTGACCTATTCTTCCCTAATCTTGTCTGATGTTAGGTATAGTAAATGTTTGCTACCACATCCTATTTCATGAAGAAAAACAAGACAAGGATTGCTATTTACAGTATTATAATGTTGGTAGATTATTTGTAAAACAAACAAAATAAGATCTTGTTTCTTGTTAGAATCTGACTTAGAATTGGTTACAAATGTAAATTTGATAAGTGATTAAAGAGTTAAACATGAAGTTTGACAAGCTATTACCACTTAAGGAAAGGAAAAGGGGAAAGGTTTTTAAATATTTCTCTTGTATTTGAGCTTCTCATACCATCCATTGTAGAATTCTTTAATATTTTATCAATCTCACAGAGAGTGGACCAGGTAAAAGAAGGATGCTGGGGAAAACGGAAAGCACCAGGTGCCCTGACCAAGTGATGAACAGGATCTTTTTTCTTCAATATCCTATTTGCTCATCTGTCCCCTTGATTATTTTACACTACTTTTCTGTGAATGAGGTGGTCTTGTCCTCCTTTCCCAATGTCTTCATTTGCATTAGCTTCATTAGTTACATTAACTTCTTCAGCATTTTATATCAACTCAACAGCAAATTTTGAAAGAGAATGGGACAAGTGGAATGTACCAGAGGTCCTTACATGTCTGGGACAAAACAAAGGTTTGTCTTTTTGTTATGGCTTCATGGTCAAGTAGAGCTTTATAGCATAGCAAAGGAAGAGGTATTATCTAGCAAAAAAGACTTTATGAACTGTAAAGCCTGAATTAATCTGCTGTGCATAAGCTCCCACAACTATTATTCCCAAATTTCAACACAGAGGCATATGATGCTACTGCTACTGTAATAAATAAGAGAGATAAAAATCAATGACATCCCCAAGTTTCTTTCTTTCTCTCTCTCTTTTATATAGCTATCCATCTCCTCCAAAAGGGGACTCTGGGCAACACACAATGTATGATATATGCAAAGAATACTTTGCCTCAGCAGTCAGTTAAAAATCATATAGTCTGCATCCTTATGATGCCAAAACCAAATAAATTTCCCCCCCAGATGCAACAAAACTCCCCTTCATAAGAAGTATACATTCACTTATGTTGTGTGATGCTGTCTAAATATTAAACAGTTGTTTTCCTTCTAATTCTTTAGTTCCCAGCACTTTATTAACTTAATATTTCTTAACAACTAAAGTAATTCATTCAAGAAGAATATCTCTATAACCATTAATTAAAGTGATGTCTAATTTACTCACACTTTCCCTTCCATGGATGGGCAGCCTTATCCTTTTATTTTAGTTATTTGTTTCTTCAATTCACAAGTTGCATATTAAATAAATATTGTGATTCTCTATTCAAATCTATACATAGATACACACACAGACGAATGCTGTTGATATAATTAACTTGGACTTCAGTAAGGAATTTGATAAAGTAGAGCTTAACCTACTTCTAGATAAAATAGAAAAATGTGGGTTAGACAGCAACCCCAACAGATGGATTCATAACTGGCTGACCAACCGCACTCAATGTGTAGTCCTCAATGAAACTGCATCTACATGGAGGGAAGTATGCAGTGGGGTACCCCAAGGCTTTGTTTAAGGCCCAATACTCTTCAACATTTTCATCAATGATTTGGGCGAGGGGATAGATGGGGAACTCATCAAATTTGCAGACGACATCAAGCTAGCAGGAATAGCCAACACTCCGGAAGATAGGCTTAAGATACAGAAGGATCTTGACAGACCTGAATATTGGGCGCTATCTAACAAAATGAAATTCAATGGTGAAAAAAATAAGGTTTTGCATTTAGGGAAGAAAAACAAAATGCAGATACAGTATATGTGATATCTCGCTCAATAGTAGTAACTGTGAGAAGGATCTTGGAGTCCTAGTGGACAACCATTTAAATATAAGTCAGCAGTGTGCAGCAGTTGCCAAAAAAGCCAACACAGTTCTAGGCTGCATAAACAGAGGGATAGAATCAAGATCACATGAAGTGTTAATGCCACTTTATAATTCCTTGGTAAGGCCACACTTTGAATACTGCATCCAGTTTTGGTTGCCAGAATGTAAAAAAGATGTGGAGACTCTAGTGCAGAGAAGAGCAACAAAGATGATTAGGGGACTGGAGGCTAAAACATATGAAGAATGGCTGCAGGAACTGGGTATGTCTAGTTTAATGAAAAGAAGGACTAGGGGTGAAATGATAGCAGTGTTCCAATATCTCAGGGGCTGCCAGGAAGAAGAGGGAGTCAAGCTATTCTCCAAAGCACCTGAGGGCAGGACAAGAAGCAATGGATGGAAACTAATCAAGGAGAGAAGCAACCTAGAACTAAGGAGAAATTTCCTGACAGTTAGAACAATTAATCAGTGGAACAACTTGCTTCCAGAAGTTGTGAATGCTCCAACACTGGAAATTTTTTAGAAGATGCTGGATAACCATTTTTCTGAAGTGGTATAGGGTTTCCTGCCTAAGCAGGAGGTTGGATTAGAAGACCTCCAAGGTCCCTTCCAACTCTGTTATTCTGTTTTGCTTTGTTTTTTTTGTTTTTTCCTTAGCACCAAAAACTCAAGGATTGCCATGTACCAGTTTTTGGCTTTATTGCTGATATAAATAGTGAAACTGGCATAAAGCTATAGGGGCTTGAGAAGAATGTATTAATGTAGAGTAACCTTAGGAATATGAAGCAAAAAAAAATCTGAACTAGAATAATTTGATGGCAAATGTTTTAAATATATTACAGCTCCTAAATTTATACTACAAAACTGATGACTATGGGAACAACCAGATGCAAAAAGAAATATTGAAAAATGAAACTTGTACTTGCCACCTGGTGATATCTGGATTTTAGAAACTCGGATCTTGGAGCCCTGGATGCAGAAATACAAATTTAGACTTATACTATATTGATGCTCGTTTGCATCACATAACACAGAAGGGTTCTCAAACTGTGGAAAGCAAAACTAATGAAAGCTAGTTTAGTTTTTCACTAAAATTACTTCATTTTTGTTCCTACCAACATTCTTCTATTCTCTAGAGTAGAAAACAATTTAACAGTAGGCACATGTTTTCATGTAGAAATACTATAGAAGAAATGCTCTACATTTTATGGCAATCGAGACAATGCTAGACTATTTGTTTCTGTTTTCTACTTACTAAAAGGAGCAGAATATTACATAGTTTTGACAGCAGGTGTCTCTGTTGCTATAACTGTTGAAGAGATTTCATTAAAAATATTTTCATTGCTGCATTTTACCTCATGCTTCTGCAATACTTGTTAATTATTAAAAACCAAGTGACACACATTGGTTGTAGATCCAGGCCTTATCTAATGAGATAAAAGGTGACTGCAGCAATCATACAGAACACAATCAGGAACCAGAAGCTGAAATACTTTATTACGATCTTCCTGTTAAACTATGAAGAGGGACTGAGAGATGTTTAGAATATCTGATTGTGTGTCTGTTGGAGCAGCTATTTGTACGGAAAAGATTTCAAAAATCATATTCTTTTTCCTACAGAGACAGTCAAACTTTTCTAAACCATGATCTTCAGCTAAAAAGGTAAGATAATTCTTTGTATCGATATCAGTTAAGGGCCTCAAAATATATTTCCTGGCAGGAGAATCTACACTCACCAATTATATGTTTAGGCCATAGAAATTACAAAATCAAAATTACAAAAAGTAAGAAGTCTAGTTGGATAGATAGATAGATAGATTGGATAGATTGTTGGATAGATAGTTGGATAGATTGTTTTGTTTTGCAAGCTACAGGGGCCTCCAAACTTGGCAAATTTAAGACTTGTGGACTTCAACTCCCAGAATTCCTCAGCCAACCATGCTGAGTTCTGAATTCTGGGAGTTGAAGTCCTCAAGTCTTAAAGTTGCTGTGGTTGGAGATCCCTGTGCTTCAATGTTATGCACATTTACTCAAAGAAAATATTTTAAGTGTTCAGTAGGAATGACTTCAGTGGTGGGTTGCACCCAGTTCAGTCTGGTTCTTGCAAACCGGTAGTAATGGTGGCGGGAGGCTCTGCCCACCCACCCCGACGTCATCACTGATGATCTGCACATGTGCAGAAGCTTCTCCCATTGCGAACCGGTAGTAAAGGTAAGTAGAACCCACCCCTGGTTGACTTGCCTCCTAATTCAATAAACAAAATTATTTAGAGTAATTGTTCTAGGATTATTTTACTAGCCTATATTAGATTTCTCTAATATGCTGGGAGTAGGACAAAGAAAATAGCAATTCTATACACAGTACTATATAGGGTTACAGATATGGAGTAGGACCAGAATACTTCATCTCTCATCTGCAAGTTGGGTTTTACCTGTACACAATTACTGGTTGCCAACAGTTATCAAAATAGTTTTTGTAGATTTTGGAAGATCCTCCAATCACCATACTCAGTGTTTCACTAATCACCTCTGTCACAGTTTGTCAAAAATGCTAATAATCTGAATGCAATTTTCAGGTTGTAATAGTTACTTACTACTACAGCCCTAAACAGCATTTAGGTGACCAATATTTCTGATATTGCTAATAAGACTTGATAAACAGGTATATAATAGATTATGTTGTCAGCTTCTTGAACTATTATGGCAATCTTTTAAAATCTTTTTTGCAATTTAAGACTTTAAAAAACTCAGATCCTGAATAACAATCTATTTTTAACAATAAAAAGTGTCATTTTTATTATGACTTGTAAAAAGCTAATTATCAACTAGGCTAAACATATGTAACCTCTGGAAAAATCCAGATTCTCTAGTTTCTTAATGATATCAAAGATATTATAGGTTGATCCTCCTGAACAGACTGTTCTTTATCATGTGAGAATGTGAATGAGTTTCTGTCCTATTTATAATTTTCTTTTGTGAATGTAGAGGGCCATTGAGAGAACTGAAGTTCTGTGGCATTTGGACTGATCTTGCACAGGACCAGGCATGCAACTTTTCAGAAGAATAATTTGGGGCCAAGACTATGCAAGAATAAATAAAAATGAGATCCAGACAGCTGTGAGGAAAGAAGAAATATTTTTTCCAAAAAGCCTTTAGGGGCAGCTGCAGAGAAATGGGGTACAGCAACAGCGTTTTATAAAATGAGCTTGTCTGTGGTGTGAAAGTGTCTGCATGCTAATTCGAGGCTGACATTTGAGGTGTGTGTGTGTAAATATGTATTCTTGTGAACATGCAGTTCTTCTGGGAGACATAACTTAATTAACTTTATGTTTGTAGACCTTATCCTTTGATATGTGGATTAGGTCTGGGCAACTTATTTGTAGGTTGAGGAAGTTTGTTAATTTTAGTTGATTAACTTAGTTTCTGTTTGACTGCAAATTATTTAGTGGAGACACTGTTTCTCATATCGTTGTGGATTCTGTAAATATTTTAAAGCTTACTGTTTTTCTGTTTACATGCACCAATTTCTTGTTCAGAATGTTGGAAAGGTCATTGCTTTTTTAAAAAAAGTATATCGGCTTCAAGTGGTTATTAAAATATAATTTATAATATACAGTTTTATATGGCTGTCATTTTTCAGATTCAAGGAAACTGCTTGCTCAATGGACAAACTTCAGAGATGGACTGGGCTGATTATCACTCTGATGGTCTACCTAACAGGTATGATCCTTTGTATTTATTACATTTATATGGCTATCTATCTCAAATATATAACGCTGGATAGTTAACAATATTAAAAATGATAAACACATATACAAAAAGAAAAAAAATATAAAAAACACATAGCAGCTCAAAAAAATTACAAAAACACATTCAGCAATTCAACAAAACCAAGAAATGGGCTTTTCTAGGTACTTGGCATCTCAAGTACAGGACCAAATCTTCAAGCCTTTATAGAAAGCCAACCAAGAAAGGCCAATCTAAATTCCAGAGGGATGATATTCCAGAGAAATGTCACAGCAGAAAAGGCTCTCTTCCACGGGCCCACCAGCTGATGGTCCTTAGCAGACATGATCCAGAGTATGCTTCTCCTGACTGAACAAAATAAAACCTCTCATAATACCTGCCATAATATGTGTGTGATTTGGCTTGATTATCGGCTGTAATTTTATAGCACATTGAAACATTAACATGACAGATACTAAAAGACACACTAAAGATTTAATTCTATGTGGTGCCTTGGGTTTCAAATAACAGTTCAAATAACATGCCCTCCAAACTTTTAAAGTTGTGGATCCTGTCCCTTAAGATGGTACATCTGGCGGGACCCAGAAGAAAGGAATTCTCAGTGCAGTCTGAGACGATTAGGCACTGACACTTGTCTGTGCCTAATTCACTCCTGGACACCCACCACACCCAACCCACCACAAGCTTTCCTCATCTGCTGACCGTCTGCTGGTGATTCTCCACCGTCAATGGCCCCCTGGCCCTCCACACCCAGCCCATCGTCCCAGCTGATTCCCTGAGGCACATTTATATCCCAGTGATTCATCCATGGTCAAATAGCTGCACTATTGGGGGGTGATGGGCAGCGGGGAGGGGGGGGGTATGGCAGGCGGATGGCAGATATCTTATAGGTGTGGGGGAGGGTGGCAGGGATTGCAGGGGCATTGGGGGGAATGGCGTGTGGCTGGCAGACATCTCAGAGGTGCTGGGGAGGTGGCAAGGGTTGTGTGCGTGGGGGTGACAGGGATTGCAGCAGCACTGGAGGGGCATGCAGCCAAAGGAGCTAATAGCAGATATTCAAGCCAGGGCTGTAATTACTTTCTCCCCACAGAAAATGGCATATCTGTTAGTTTTTTTGTTGCATAAATGACTGAAAAGTCTTTTTAAAATAGTTTTGTTATTTACATTACCTTTATACATTGCCTGAATGAAGATAAACTATTGATATGTCTACCTATGTTAAAAAAGAAAGAAGCTTTACATGGGTGTACTTATTTTTTCTCATGCTATACAGTGATAATATAAGTTAGTGTTCACTGACTGTTTTAGAGTTACTTTCATTAGATATAATACGTATAATTTATGCTACTTGATTAAAAGTCATTCATGGAACATTGGGAGAAAAAAAACAAACCAAATTTAAGGCAGTCAGAAACCATCTTTCTTCCTTCCAGAACAGGTAAAACTATTGTTATTTAAAGGAGTGCATTGTCCTTTCAATCATAATAACAGTCCAGTTGCATGGAGCAATTCCGTACAAATTATTACAATCTTGATGAACACCCAGGTGGCATTCTCATGACCTGCCAAGCCTGGGAAAGGGGCAGGGGCAGGACGTATCATCCCCCTTCCCCTCCTGTGACAAAGAAAATCTTGCTAGAATTTGCACTTTCCTGGAAAGTCCTACATTGAAGAAGTATTAACCCATTTTACAGATGGGAGACCTCAATGTTGAGGCCCTGCCTGCCTGCTGCAAATCATAGGTGTTACTCTGCCAAGAGCTCAAAAAGACTTCCTTGTCAAGCCTACAATTCTGGGATCACCTGGTGGTCTCCCATCCAAGTACTCTATTTGGGGGTGCTTGTTAACAGTGCCTGTGAAGGCAGTATGGTGGATTGAGACTGAAGATGCTCTCACAGCCTGATCTACCTCACTTCCCTGACAAATGTACAATTTTGGGATTGGCTGGTGGTCTCCCATCCAAGTACTCTGCGGGTACTTGTTCACAGTGTCCTCTAAAGGCAATATGGTGCATTAAGACTGGGGACATAGGTACTCTCAGAGCCCAGTTTACCTCTCAGTGTTGTTGTAGGAAAGGGAAAGATAGAACCCATCTTAATAAATAAATTTTAAAAATCCGACCACTACCTACCACCTACAAAAGAGGCCAGAGGTACGTGGTTTTGTGGACCTTCAGTTGTACCGAACTTACAGTTCCCAGCATCCCCTCCCAGGCTTGAGAAGACTGGGATCAGCAAACCCCTCCACCCACCATCGCAGGCTTCTGGACAGTAGTGGCCAACCAGCCCCCTCCCCCAAATTTGCAGGAAAATGGGAAGAGAAAAGTGCCTCTGGGCATATGTAGACTGTTTTGAGGCTTCAGACAACGCAGGAAGAGAAGAATGCCTCTGGACATGTGCAGAGTGCTCTCAGACTTTTTACAAGTGGAGGAAGAGTGCCTCTGGAGATACATATACCCAGAGTATATGCAGAGCGGTCCCAGGCTTTGGGCAAAGCAGGAAGAGAAGAGTGCCTCTGGGAATATGCACAAAGGCACTCTCCTGTTCCTGCTTTTCCTGAAGCCTGGGAGTGCTCTGCATATTCCCAGATGAACTCTTCTATTTCAGCTCTTCCTTAAGCCTGGAAGGGCTCTGCACATGCCCAGATACGCTTCTCTTCCCACTTTGTGGGTGTTGTGGTCCGCCAGTAGCCTGCGGAGCTGGCAGCGGAGTCGGACAGTGAGGAGGCTGGGAAGGAACATAGGAAGCCTGAGAACGCTCTTCATATAATCAGAGGCACTCTTCTCTTCCCATTTTGCCCAAAGGCTGGGAGCGCTCAGTGAATGCCCAAAGGCACTCTCCTCTTCCTGCTTTGACTGAAGCCTAGGAGCAGTTTGCTTATGCCCAGAGGCACTCTTCTGTTCCATCTTTGCACAAAGCCTGAGAGTGCTCTGCACATGTCCAGAAGCACTCTTTTCTTCCTGCTTTGCCCAAAGCTTAGGAGTGCTATGCATAGACCCAGAGGCACTCTTCTCCTCCAGCATTGCCTGAAGCCTGTAAGCAATCTTCATATATCCAGAAACACTCTTTTCCCCCCACTTTATTTATTTATTTATTTATTTATTTATTTATTTGTTTGTTTGTTTGTTTATTTATTTATTTATTATTTAGATTTGTATACCGCCCTTCTCCCGAAGGACTCAGGGCAGTGCACAGCCAAATTAAAATACATACAATACAAAATTTAAAATAATTTAAAACAGAATTAAATCCAATTGGCTTCCCGAAATATTTAAAACCCATTACCCTTAAAATAACCCTTTAAAAATTTTAAGCCAGCCCAGCTTGCTGGAATAGGAAGGTCTTCAAAGCTCGACGGAAGGTCCGGAGGTCCGGGATTAGTCGTATTCCTGGGGGTAGCTCGTTCCAGAGGACGGGTGCCCCCACAGAGAAGGCTCTCCCCCTGGGGGTCGTCAGTCGGCATTGCTTGACCGACGGCACCCTAAGGAGGCCCTCTCTGTGGGACCGAATTGGCCGGTGGGAGGTTATCGGTGGCAGAAGGTGGTCTCGCAAATAGCCGGGCCCTAAGCCATGGAACGCTTTAAAGGTGAGAACCAGTACCTTGAAGCGCACCCGGAAGACCACCGGGAGCCAGTGTAGCTCGCGCAGGCAAGGTGTCACATGGGAGCGCCAAGTCGCTCCCAAAATTACTCGCGCGGGTAATTTTGCCCAAAGCCTAGGAGTGCTCTGCACATTCGCAGAGGCACTCTTCTCTTTCTGCTTTGCCCAAATGCTGAGAGTGCTCTTCACATGACCAAAAGCATGTTTCTCTTCCAGCTTTGACCAAAGCCTGAGAGTATTTTGCACATGCCCAGAGGCACTTTTTTCTTCCCACTTTGCCCAAAGACTGAGTGTGTTCTGGGTATGCCCAGAGGAACTCTTCTTTTTCTGCTGTGCTAGAAACATAGGAGCACTCTGGGTATGCCCAGAGGCACTCTTCCTGCTTTGCCCAAAGCATGCGAATCTCAGGCAGTGCTTCTATGAGAGGGGAAGTCCGGAGTGCTTCTATGGCAATGGCCCCACCAGCTGCAAGTGCCCCCTGCAATTGCCCCTTGTAAGCGACCCCCATGCCAATGATCCAGATGGCGCCAAGGACCTCTCAGCCCCTCCCTGATCCCTGCCACCCTCTGCCACCTGCCACTCACTGGCCCACCCAGCGGTAACTCACCAGTTTACTTCTGCTTTCGTTTTCCCAGAGAACTAGAAAACTAGCTTTTCTGGGAGAAGAAAAGCAGAGGTAAACTGCTTTACCTGTGTTTTACTCTCTGCCTTGGGGGCACAGTGTGCATGCCAGAGGAAGTAAGAGAAGGGTTGTGAAGGGGCTGTGCAGATGAGAGATTAGAGGTGGGGTTGCTGGGCTCTTGGTGTTGTGTGAAGCTCTACGGTCTCGTTGGGAAACAGGACAGTGCCAGTGCTGAAAGGAGGGGAGATGAAGAAGTTGAGGGATTCCCCTTCCCTGCAGTGGAATCTAACCTGAAATTAATTTTAGTTTGCTGTCTTGTGCTAATACTGGCAAAAATTCAAGGTAGCCAATTCTGCCCAAAATAGGGAGGGTATTTTTGTTCCCCCCAACTGAGAAAATAAAAATTGGGAGTGGAAGACACCCCCCCCCCATCCTTCTATGCCATATGATTTTTCCACCTGAAGCATCTATTCTGCTTTGCTAAATGGAGCTTCCACATTCAAAACCACTTTACCTGATGCTGAGGACTAGCAAAACTGAATTGCAGAGAAAAAACTGCAGCTTGAGAGTTTTTCCTGCAAAATTGGGGGTCACCTGTTTGGCTAATGCTGCCCAAAACCTAGGATGGTCGGTGGGAGGGATGCTGATCCAAGTTTCCTTTCCTAACAAGGCTGGGAGAGGATACTTGGAACTGTAAATTCTGTACAATTGAAGAGCCACAAAACCACGTATCTCTGGCCTCTTTTGTGGGTGTTAGATGGTGGTAGAATTTGTTTGTTTGTTTGTTTGTGTGTGTGTGTGTGTGTGTGTGCTATATCCTGTCCTTTCCTACAACAACACTGTGAGGTAGACCAGGCTGTGAGAATGCCCTTGTCTCCAGTCTTAATCCACCACATTGTCTTTACAGGACACTGTAAACTAATATCCCCATACAGAGCATTTGAATGAGACATCACCAGGAGATGCCAGAATTGTACACTTGGCAAGGAAGTGAAGTAGGTAGGCTGTGAGAGTGCCAGGGAAGTGATGACAGGCTATGAAGTGATGGTAGGCTATGAGAGTGCTATGTCCCCAGGCTTAATTCACCATATTGCCTTTACAGGACACTGTTAATAAGCACCCTCAACAGAGTATTTGGATGGGACACCACCAGGCTATCCTAGAATTGTACACTTGACAAGGAAGTGAAGTAGACTAGGCTGTGAGAGTGCCCATGTCACCAGTCTAAATGGCATGTTATTATTTAAAGGAGAATGCACTCCTTTAAATAACAATAAACAGAACTGTGTTATCTGTTCTGGAAGGAAGATTATTATTGGGTGAGATTATTATTGAGAGATAATAGTGGCTTGTTTAACGATAGGTCAAGCTCACTGCACTTTGGTTTGTAAATGGGACCAAACAAGAAAGGGGTAGGGAGCATGCAATCTCTTCTATAATAAACTAAGAATATGAAGAAGTAAACTAAATATCCTGGGAGCAGTTATCAAAATGCTTCCATGATATGAAAACCTTACCAGATAAGACCATATGCTTTGAAATAAACTTTTGCCAATAATTTCCCTAAAATTAAACTGTTCCCAAACCAAATGGGTTTGTGTTTGTGTATTTGTGTATGTGTGTGTGTGTGAAAAGAAATAACACCAGGACTTTCAAATCCAAGCAACTTTGCCTTTTTTTTAATGAAAGTGACAACAGTTCACAGTGGGACATATTTCCATGTGATATGTACTTTGCCCTGTAAATGTTCAGCCTTAGTTAATCATACTGTAGCCAGATTTTTATTATCCTAAAGACCAGGCCAAATTGGTAATGTGAAATGATTGCTTGTTTTTATTACTAACATGGATAAGAAAATCTTTCACATTTCATGTACATCATCTGTCTTCACTCTATATTATCACTGTATTACCAAGTCAATGTCTCTTCCATTTTCTTTGTTCAAATAGAACTTTAACTATCGGTATTCTTCAGTTTTCACACACACTTTAGATATTATAATTTGATCCTATAACTGTTATCAAGTCCTATCTTTCTTGTTGAAGTCTAGCAATATAAGCAGAAAATACTTTTACCGATATTGGTGTTGGTATAGTTTTAATTCCTGTTTTTTTGCTTTACAGATCCTGGCTTTGGCTATGCCATCGTAGAAGGCCCTCAAAATTTAACAGTTGTTGTAGGTTCAGTGGCTCGATTTAGCTGCACAGTATCAGATGGGTGGAAAATTTTGATATGGCTTTTCAATGGAAATCCTAAGCTGTCCGTGTTGAGTACTGGAGAAACCATTGTAACAGATGAGCAATATACTCAGAAAGGTTCTAACATAAGTAGTAGCAGATTTACTTCAGAGCTGATGATCCATAATGTTCAGCTGACAAATTCTGGACAGATCAGATGTAGCCTCCAGAACAATGACAATAGATATGCATTTCTTTCTGTACAAAGTAAGTATGTCTTTCCATGATTATTCGTTTAGCTTGTTTTTTTTAAAAAAAATTAGGGTTACTCCAAAAATTGTTCATTAATTGTTTTAAATTAGAAGAAAATTTTGTGGCATATTCAACTGCAACATTTTAGTGAGTGGGCGATGGCAGAAACTTCTGTGAACTACACTGACTTGCATGGATGTAAAATTCTGTTCACAGAATTTTATATTTATGTGAACAAAAGGCCATGAAGTTTAGGAAAACTGAGACTTGTTACTATGGGAGGGCTTGTGGATGGAAGCACATATCTGTAACTTATATTCTCTTTTTAGTTTGTATATGTACTGTGCATTATTTGCTGTTCAAAATCGTACGAGGGCAAGACAAAACACTGATATGCTGCTAAACGAGGAGCTGATTGTTATGCTACTGGGAATGAAGAAGCAGTGTGGAGAAGAAACATAGGTAGAACTTAAATTATGACTGGTCACTTACCAACTCTTTTGGGTTATGAAGGACCCCTCCCACCCAAAAAAGCTACTTTACGACCTAGTTTTGAGGTTATGAAATCACATGGCTGTGATTTATGACACTTTTGCCAGAAATTGGCATTCACTTCCAGTTTCTGACAAAAACCAGGCCATACCAAAAAATGGATTTGCTTTATAACTGCCACATTCATATTATGACCACCACAAAAAAAGGTTATAAAATCAGATTGGTCTCATGATGACTCATTTTACAACCATTATGATTTACAACCATAATAGCAAGGCTCAGTTATGGTCATAAGTCACTAACTATCTATAGAGAATATACAATATGTGGCTAGCTCATAAGGGACCCTGAAAATCCATTTTGGATTTCAAGTTGTCCATCCATAGAGATTGAAAATTTATTTCAAATAGGAAAGTCTCATTTATTCCCCCCAAAGAAAATATGCTTTTACCTTGTCTTAATAAGACTTAATAAATTTAATAGGTAATTATTTAAAAGTGCCTTAAAAATCCTTATTTAGTTCTATAGGCTGGAAGGATGTATCTTTCTGATAAAAAAATCTTCAATTATTATAATTACTGGTACGTTAATATGGAAAATGCATCTTTATCTTAACACACCAGAAAAAAAATCCAGTCCTTCTATAGATATCTTTTCCAACACTGAATTTAAATTAAACTTCACTTTTAAAAAATGTTTTTTTTATTATTTGGCTTTAAAATGCATCAATATTTTTGAGAATAATAATTTAAATTTGAGGCTATAAAATGTAAAGAAGAATGAAGAAAATTATTTTTACCCAAACAGTTCAACGATATCAAAAATACCAAATAATGAAAAACAACCAAACAATTGAAATAGTCTGTGAAGCCCTTGGATGATCTCCTCCTCCACACATTTCCTGGATAGAAAATAATCATTTATTAGTTTATTCTGTGTATGTTTCCAACTACAATAAGGTATCAAATGGCTTATACAATGAAGAGAGTATCTTAACTATGACCCCATGAGCCAGTAGCCCTGTGACTTGTTTAGCTGACATAGATGCATTCTCTAAATCTCAGTCTGCAACAATGATTGTGACTGTGAATGAACCTTCACCAAGTAAGTGAATAATTTATCAGTGCAGTTCATGTTTGTTGAAATTTTTAATGCACTCTTAATATGTACCCATAAAAAGTATAGAATTTGGTTTATCCAGTGCTGTCAGGTTCATGGATTATGAGCCTCATGCATCAATTTGTCTGTGTAAACTGTGCAATTAACCCTGGAATTGTCTTCTCCAACCTGTTGCCTACCAAATTTGTGAGACAATAGTTCTCATCATCTCCAATTACCATAGAAACTAACTGTGGATCAGGGGTGAAATCCAGCAGGTTCTGACAGGTTCTGGAGAACCGGTAGTGGAATTTTGAGCAGTTTGGAGAACCATTAGCGAAAATTTTGAGTAGTTCAGAATACTGGCAAATACCACCTCTGACTGGCCCCAGAGTGGGGTGGGAATGGGGATTTTGCAGTATCCTTCCCCTGGAGTGGGGTAGAAATGGAGATTTTGCAATATCCTTCCCCTGCCACGCCCACCAAGCCACTCCCACAGAACTGGTAGTAAAATAATTTGGATTTTACCACTGCTGTGGATGATAGGAATTTTTATCTAGCATTTGGAGGGGACTAGTTTGATAAAGATTGATCTTGAAGATGCTCCTATTACCATTTTGGCAATATATAGTAATAAGAGGTTTGGATCAGTGTGGTAAAATGCCACCATGCAAAAAGGATAAAGGGAGAGATAACTGTATTTTTATTGGGCTTGCCAATGGCAGCCTCCATGTTCATTTTTGACCACAGTGTAAGGGCATCTTTTGAATAAGATATGAAAAAAGATTTTTCCACTATTCTGTCTGGAAGTATAACCAACTTATTTTTATCTCAGTTATGAGGAAATTTTCTCATGAAAGGTAGTAGACTACTTCAACTTTTTCTCCCCTAATTTTATTGATTTGCTGTAACCTGCTGATACAATCTTAGTTGCTTTAATACAGAGCAACAGATGGACTATTATACTCTTTCATTTTCAACAAGATAATTCCACAAGTATTCCATCTCTTCTATCCTTCAAAGTGATATTGTCAGCATATTAAGAACTGCTGAAATTTCTCCCAGTACTTTTAATTCCACGTTTCATTTCTTTTGGTTCAGCATTTCTCATAATAAAAGTTAAATAAATAAAGTGATGGTATACAGTACACCCTCAGGACACTGCTATTCCAGTTTTAAACCAGTTGCTTCATATTCTTAATTCTTACTTCCTAGCTAGCAGCCAAATTCTTCACCAAGCAAACCAGGTGGGCTAGTAGACTCATGTTTTTAAGTGCTTTTCGCAATTTGTTGAAAGTTGGGTTATTTAGAGTAAAAAGTCAGTCCAATGGATTGCTTTACACATAGTCCTTGACTTAACAACCATTTATTTGGTGACCATTCGAAGTTACACTGCACTGAAAAAAGTGAGTTAGGACCAGTTTTTACACTTATAACTGTTGGTCACAAGATCAAAATTTGGGCATTTGGCAACTGGCATGTATTTATGACAGTTGCACTGTCTTGGAGTCATGTGGTCACCATTTATAACCTTCCCAGCTGGCTTCTGACAAGCAAAGTCAATAGGAAAGCCAGATTTTCTTAATGACTGCATGCTTCACTTAACAACAGTGGCAAAAAGGTCATAAAATGAGGTGCAACTCTCTTAACAACTGCCTCACTTAGCAACGGAAATCGTGGTCATTCAATCTTTGTTTTAGTCAAAGACACCTGTACAGTTAGTCCTCGGCTTTCAACCTTTCATTTAATGACTGTTTGAAATTACAATGGCACTGAAAAAAAGTGACTAATGACTCTTTTTCATACTTATGACCATTGCAGCATCCCTATGGTCACATGATCAAAATTTGGATCTTTGGCAACTGGTTCATATTTATGATGGTTGCAATGTCCCATGATCATGTGGCATTCTTTTGTGACCTTCTGTCAAGTAAAATCAATGAGGAAGCCAGATTCACTTAACAACTGTGGTGATTCATTTAACAAGTGTGGCAAGAAAGGTTGTAAAATGGGGCTAATTCACTTAACAACTCAGTACTTAACACCTAAGCAATAGAAATTTCGGGCTCAATTGTAGTTGTAAGTTGCGGACTACCAGTATTTACATTTTGTCTTTTAATTATGGGGTTAAAATACCAAGTTTCTTCCTATGGAATAAAAAACTTTTGTCTTTTGGAGTAACATGCTGCAAACATGTTCCCTTTAAATAAGGGAGATAGATGCAATAAAGACTCTTTTATTGGCATGTGATCACTAGTCTCCTGGCCAAAAGAATGCCAACAGTCCCAAACTTAAGCAAGGTTATAGCTTCTCAATCCTTGGAAATATTATGTAGAAATGATAAAAAAGCAACACAGTGAGCTTTACAGCCTAAATGTGCCATCTAATAACAACCTGCAATGACCTTACTATGGTCTGACCCAGTTTCTTTAAATTCTAATTTGTAAGAGGTTCAAAGCCCATCCTCTTTTACTGATAGTAGCACCCTCTAACATAAGCAATGTCTTTTATGGTACCCATATAGGATTTCTTTTTCACACCAGAGAGAAAAGGCAGAAATTTGGTTTCTGTTATTTGTCTCCTTCCCTTCCAGAGTCATCAAGCTGTTTCAGTTTGTTTGCTCTATGTAATACATTCTTCAGAAACAAGGAACAGGTAGAATATTATTTTTCTCCCACATATGGTTGGCATGTTTGCTAAATGTTTAGTATAATACTAAATAAATATTTATCATTACAGTGGTTTTGCGGAGAGTAATACATTGTTTTGTATATACCGTACATATTCTTCAATTTACAATAGTTTGCATGACACATCTTAGAATCAGAAATGACAACAGTGTGTGTGTGTGTGTGTGTGTGTGTATATTTGTGAGAGAGAGGAAAGTCAAGATGACTAATACAACTGAAACTCCACACATGCCACATATATGATACATATATAAAAAGGACAGGGCTTTGACTGTGGAGCTGCCATACTGACTTTTTTGATTCACTCTGGATCCTGCAACTCAGCATGGAAGAAAACCAAATGCCATTAAGTTTAAGAATGACATACTTAACTGATTATGGAGGAACATCATTCAATTATGGAGGAACATCATTCTGCAATAACAGGCCAATTTTGCTTCAAAGACGCATATATACTGAAGGCTGGAGAATATACAGTCTTTCTAATGATTAAGTTGAAGTGGAGACATGTCAGCTCCAATGTAGAAAATTCACATGCTGTCAGTATTTGTTTATCAAATTGATATGGCTACTATCAACACTTTTTCTGGGTGATTTGCCAAGCCCAAGCAAAACAAATGAAATGCTAAAAATCATGTACAGTAATTAAATCCAGAAAACAATATAGATGCAGCGGATTTTTTTAAATAGAGAAAAGTGATTTAGCTCACATGAAAATGCATGCTCCCTAAAAATGGACAAAAGCTAAGGTTCAAACAAAACCTATTATTTATGATTAAAAAATATCACTGTAAAAAGCATAAAAAGATTTCAAAGAAGCTTTTTAGGCAAAGTTTTTCAGGTTACTCAAATCAAAGTGCATTCATTGCAGCCCCATTAACCTTTGTTACATTATGCAGTTCAGTTTCTTGAGATGTCCAAAATTAGGAATTAGTAATGATTAATTTGTTCACTACAAATCATAATTGCAAACTAGTATAAGAAAAATAAAAGTAATGAAAGAGAAAATAAACTAGTGAATAATCTGGGATTTCCAAAAATCTCCACTAAGAAACATTACTAATTAAAAATTGAGACAAATTAAGAATGACTTCATAGAACTCATTAAAATAATTAGGAACATTTTAAAATGTTCATGCTAATTAATTGTACTGTTTAACATTGCTTAATTTTTATTTAGTAGGATGTGATAATGAAGATTGGCGAATCCGAACTATAATTTTAGCTGTTGTGTTGTCAGTTGCTCTTTTACTCCTTCTGATCCTTATTATTCTCCTTATTATATGTTGCTGCAAAAGAAGGAAAGGTATGTGGGCCTTCTGGAACTGGCTTTGCATTTTAAACTTTTATTTTAAATAGACAAAACTAAATCTGTTAATTTTATGCCAGAAACATTCCCTGCTTGTTTATATGAAAAAAATGTTTCTCTGCTTTTATTTTTTCTGCAAAATAAAATCAGGCTATGGATAACTTGTAAGGGAAAAATAGATAATTAGCATTAGCATTATTAAAATAATACATTTAAATGCATGTAATTGTTTACACATCAAACCTTCAATAAACTGGAATGAGTTACTTCAGATGGGTTATTTCTTTGCTTGTTTATTTGATATAAAGCCATTATTCCAACAGTTCAAGGCAATCTGAATACAATTATTTCCTTCAGTTTTTCTGTAAAGTAACAGCCCTGTGAAATAGGTTAAGTTATACCAAGCTTCCATAATTGAAGTTAGAAAGGAAATCAAATCTTTTCAGTCCTAGTTCAGATTCTAGTCCAGGGGTCTCCAACCCCCGGGCCATGACCCATTACCAGGCTGTGGCCTATTCAAAACTGAGCCGTGGGAGATATGGGCAAGCACGCATGTGAAGCTCCATTCATGCGAGCAGCGGGCAAATACATGTGCACAAAGCTCCCCTCACATGAGCGGAGGGCCCTCCACTCACACAAATGGAGGATTGGCATGCGTACCTGCCCACCACGCATGCGAGTGGAGCTTCACACCTGCGCTTGCCCATCTTTCCTGTGGCCCAGTTTTGAACAGGACGCGGCTGGGTAGTGGACCACAGCCCAGGGTTGGAGACCCCTGTTCTAGTCAATATATTACACTGGGATAGCAGCAACACCTGAAGAAAAAATACCCCTGATCTTTAAGAACTCACAATGTGGCCATTGTATTCATTTTGAACAGAGGTGGTTCTGCAATGCTGAATTTGAGGTTTTCAGAGATCTGCCCTTTCACACAATTTCATGTTTTGTGCCTCCTTAATTTTGCTAAAGGCATCATTATGGCTTGCCAGCAAGGAAGTGTGAGCTTCCAGGTAGTCAAAATTGAGGAGTGGACTTGAAGTGCAAGTGTCAGTTTGTACTATAGTCTGGTATCTACAGCGATGATTGGATTGCAGCAATATGGGAGGAAGTAGAGATAGTAGGGTACTGAATCCATCAAACCTGGCACTCCATGTGTAGGTGAATCAAATTGCATTTCATATTTGCAATTTCATTAGAGAGTAGGTTTTTTGTCAATAATAGACAGAACATATACTTTGGTGCTGGATGCATGATTTATGAATGGAAAATTCTTGGTTCCTGCACAATGATAATTCACTTTCATTTCAGTGAAAGTATAGATCCACAACCACCTCCCCCAACTATGTCTGTTCAAATAATTAAGAATACTTGTATCTGCAAATCATTTCATTAGATCCTGAATCAATCTTTTTTTTAAAGAGATCAGTGTTATGAAAACATTAGATTTTTCTTTCCTAGTAAGTGGCTATACTTGTTTGCTATATTCTAAAATTTGTCCTTTTACTTTTCCAGAGTCCAACTATCAAAGTGAGCTAAGGTAATAAGACAGTTATCATTTTTAATTCCGTTATTGATGCTAAAACATACATTGTATTTGCTTAAGATCACAATTAACATTAATACAAACAACCAAAACCCAACATAGAAAATGATAATACCAGTAAACTGCAATGAGATGAAATCTGTATGATTTCCCAATGAATGATGGCCTCAATCTTTTGAGTCTGTGAACCTTTTTTCACTACAGGACAAGTGTGCCCCAGCAATCTTTTTCATGCTTTGGTCTCATGATGTTGCCTTAATCTAGTTGCCAACTAAACTGAGACAGTTGTCCTTAAATTTTGTTTTTTATCCTGAACACAATTTTTGTCATGATATAAACTTGCATGCTTCAGTGGCCATTGAAAATCATATTGATTAGAAGACAGATGCCATAATCCAGTAATGGCTAACCTTTTTGCCATCACATGCCAGGAGGATGGGGGGCGTCGCGCATGCATGTGCCCATACCCATAATTCTATGCACCCCGCCCCTGCACATGCGCGTGTGGCCCTCCCGCTCCCGGCACACAATGGCCCGGTAGGCCTGTTTTTCTCTCTCACCTGGCTGCTAGACTCCTAGAGAGGCTCTGGAGGCTGAGGACAGCAAAAAAATCACTTCCTGTCCAACCAGAAGTTGGGAAACGGGACATTTCTGGCCTCTGGAGGGCCTCCGGGGGGGGGGGAGGCCATTTTCGCCCTCCCCAGACTCATAGACGGGCTCTGGAGCCAGGTGAGAGAGAAAAACGGGCCTTCCCCACCATCCCTCAGGCCCTCCGGAGGCAGGAAAACAGCCTGTTTCCCTACGTTTGGTGGGCCCAGAAGGCCCGAAAATCATTTGGAGCTGAGCTCTCGTGCCTACTGATATGGCTACGTGTGCCACAGGCTCGCCATCACGGCCATAATCCATGTTAGAGCAGTATTATTAGTCTAATGAAAAGTTAATCAGTAGTGAGCAAGCTTTTGAGTTCTTAAAAGTTCATCATAGGCAAAGAAGATGGGAAACAAAAGAGAAAAAAGGAGAAATTGTAAAGAATCGTACATAGAGAAAAAAATGGCTAATCTTTGATCTAGGTACCATGTTTAAATCAGCAACAGATATAAAATAAATTTAAAACAGGAGTTTTATGTGGTTTTAGATAATTTCAGCCCATGCTATAAACCAGTGATGGCTAACCCTTTTGCCATCACGTGCCAAAAGCAGGGGGAGTCCGGTGGAGTCATGCGCGTGCATGCCCATACCCATAATTCTATGCACTGTCCCCCTGTGCATGCGCCCTCCTGCCCGCTCCACTTTTGGCATGTGATGGCACAGTGGGCCCGGTAGACCAGTTTTTCACTCTCCCCAGGCTCCAGAGTTTTTCTAGAAGCCTGGGGACAGTGAAAATGGCCTTTCCCACCCCCCAACAGGCCCTCCATAGTCTGGAAATGGCCCGTTTGCCGACTGGTGGGCCCAGAAGGCCCGAAAATCAGCAAACCGAAGCTGAGCTTGCGTGCCCACCAATAGGACTCCGCATGCCACCTGTGGCCCACATGCCATAGGTTTACTATCATGGCTATAAACCAACTTTATTGCATACCCTTCTCATCTTCCCTGATTGAACTAAATACAGATTCTTGTATTTAGTGCGATTCTTGGTCGCACAAAAATAATTTTTTTCATTCCCAAATCTCTGAAACATACTGTTTGACTTTATTATTTTGTGGGGGTCTGATTTGACAGTTTTCACGTGTTTCCAATCTTAAAGCAAATGCTGAGACCACATAAAATGGCTTCAGGAACCCCATGAAGCAAGTAGCCTGTTTAATAGGACAATTCATAAAATGGCATGCATCTTGTGGTTCTCATCCCCACCCCAAAATGTAAATACAACTTATGATCACAAAAGAATAACCACTCCTTATTTGGCTGATTATAAAATATTTGATGATAGGTATGTTTTCTTACATAATCAGTTAAGACAAGGTTTTGCACTCTTCATAAATGGTGAAAAAGAATATAATTTCCAGAAATACTCTAAATGGAAATTTCAATGCAGGGGTTCCGAAAACATCTGTTTTGTAGACATCCTTTCTTTTTTAAAGCCTTCATGTTTAATACTCAATACATATACCACGAGAGGTCACTGTGTACCAAAATAGCTCACTGCACTGATGCTTCTATTCCATGGGCTTTTAGTATAGAATGTCTGTTACAGAAAGAGATCTGAAACTGAGACAGGTGGAAGTGGTGCACTGAGCGCAACTGCCAAGCAAATTAGGTTACATCCTGTTCTTTTCTAAGAACTTTGAAAACAATCTCTTGAAAGGCAATGCTTGATAACAAATTGTTTCCAAATTAGCAAAATGAGTTTTAAACACTTGCAGAGATGAAAGCTAAATGATATGTTAGAATGCCCTGGGGTTTTCAACTTTAAAAATGAAAGAAATGTTCATTGTTATTAATTAAGACACCACAATTAAGAATCCTGGATGATTAACACATCTTTGTGGAAGATTTCCAATGGCTTTAGTTTTTAAAGGCATGTGCATTGAAACCTTTTTTTTTTTTCCTCAAAGAAAGGAAGAAAGCTTATCCCAGAATTATGGTTAATAATTCTTTTTCTTTTTCACTTTTTTTTACTGAGATAAACATTTGAAAATACAAATTTTTAAAAAGCTAAGAGAAAAACCAAATCAACCTGTGTTTTTATGGATTATTGTAATGGAAGAATTTAAGTAACATACAGAGACTCCAGCCTAACTATACTTCATGAATAAATTCTTAAGATTGCTGATTAAATAGATACGTCCATCTAAAGCTTTTTCAAAACTAGATGAGTTGCAGTAAGCCTAACCTACACTTAGCATATATAACATCCCTCCTCTCTTAGTCCATCTGGTTAGGGAGAACCCTTCCATGAAATGGCCTTTAGGTTAAATTGATAGACATTCAAGGTCACAAAGAATGATCAGAGTCATCTCCTGTTGGCTCTAAATTCTTCAGTAAATTTAGCTGGCTGCATTTGAAAGGAATGACTCTTTAGACAACTCACTCTAAAAAATGTCACTTGGGTGGTATTAATTCCACAATTGTCAAAATGGTGCAGAACCTCCTGAAGTTTAGTAGCAACTAAACTTTCTCCATTGTTGATCCAATAAGCAAGCAAAATCAAAGTGTGACAGAATACCTGAGATTCCAGAAGGTAGAATCTTTATGAAGCATTGGAATATTACAGGGGTTACAGAGAACCCTAATTGGAGATTCTCCATTCAGAATACCCCACGATGGGTGATGACAGTCTGGATATCTGCTCTAGCATTATCAGTCGCTAAATGCTGGTACTGTTAGATATAGGGCTAGATATAGTTTTCTAAAGACTTTTCTGCTATAGCAAAAACAGCCAGCAGTTGATTGACTGTAGGCATTGGTTTTGGATGCTGTTTAAATGCCTTATTCATAATGCTGGCAAAATACAAATATTATAATATATATCACAGTTTTTCAAATGGCAGATTCCAACATGGTTCTATTTTGTAACATTTGCCTTTTACAGATAGAAACATTGGGCTTTAGGTGGAAGTTCACAGTAACAACTCCAAGTAATGTGACAATATGGATTGATTCCACATCAGATTTCTAGAGGGAGGGACACACTAACTTCCCTAAAATTATACAATTAAAATTAGGTGGAAGTTCACAATAGTAACTCCAACCAATGCTTCAAAGTGAATTCCAGATTTCTAGAAGAAGGAACACAATGGTTTCCCTAAAGTTATGCAACTCATATTCAGCTAAGCCTTTCCTTAAACCTCTGCCAACTTCTTCCAAATACATATCCTGACAAAGGAATACATTTCCTATTCTAGCATATTCATTGGTTGTTTCCTTAAGTTTCAATAAAACTAGTCTTTTCCAGAAAGGAAAATATTTTGCTACCTTTAATTTAACAAAGCTAGATATGATTGGCAGTCTGATATTGACCAATATTTGTTTTGTATGTTTATACAAAATCACAATCACAAGAACAGAGAATCATTACACCTGAAGTGTTCTCTTCCAAATTAGAGCAATTGCTTAAGTCTAAGGGCTTTGGCTGAATGTTCCAGAAATGTGGGGAGGAGGAGAGAAAGAGAACCAACCTTACTGTAGAACCCTTGTTCTACAGTATCAATCTTGTTTGATAAGCTGCAAGGTTTACAGCCTGAACAGAGTATCTTCTATTCATTCATAGATCATAAATGATTTGGTTGCCAATATCAAGTATTTTTATTTTCTAGAAATATTTCATGGAAGAAAGAAAAAGGTAGAAATTTGGAAACTGTGAGTCACCGTGGAAAGGAAAACTATGGCTACAGTGCAGAGCAAATGCCACGTAAGTAACCTTTAAATGAAAAAAAGAAAAGTCTTTATAGAACTTCATATATGCATTTTAAATTCAGCCCTGTTGTACTTTGGTGGCCAGAAAGTAGGCAAATATTAGCTTTCCTTAAAAAAGTATTGGGCTACCATTTCTGGCCTAAAAAAAATCTGGCAATTGTCTGATGGTAGCAAAGAGATACAGTAGCTAGTTTACTCTGGTTTGGAAGTGAAATAGAAATGAACTTAATATAGGTTAATAAACTTGGGCTACAAAAATTCAGATAGCTGCTAGCTTTGCTGCCATCAGAGCGTGTGTGTGTGTGTGTGTGTGTGTGTGTGTGTTAGGAAAATGATGTCAAGATTACAGGCATGAAGGTAATTGAAGCCACATCTCTTTAATGTGCATTGTACATACATCATACATACAGTATAAAAAGGCTGAAGCTTCAATTGTGCAGCTGTCCTATTATTAGTGGGCATGGGTTTTTAAAACTCAGATATATCAGTCCTAGAACAATGAAACCTTTAACTGAATGACTTGAGAAGTTAAAATAAAATGAAGAAATGGATCTTGGTTTTTTACAATATATTCTAGTGAGTAGCAAAAAAGTGAGCTATCTGAATTACTTCCTGAAGAAATGAAGTGAAGAAATTTCATTTAAAAACATGGACTAGACAGTTAAAACTGACAATTAATGTTCTCTTTAAAAGGATATTTCCAGACAAATTGCCACAAAGGAAAATAATTGAAAATTAGATATAGGCCCAGGATCCAAGTCTTATGCAGAGAGAAGCACAGAAGCCAGCTTCAAGTTTGCATTTGCTTCCCCATTTAGAATATAATCTGGACTGCTAAACTCATAGCACATCTCAGTATCTAGAAAAAGGAATGGATGATGGGTTGTATGATCAAAGCACATATAGAAATAACTATATAGGTGTTATTTTTATACATTTTGCTCTTTATATGATGGGAGTTGGATGCAAGCTGAGTAATTTCTATTGCTAGATTGCACAGATTTTTTCTGAAATCATATAACACTAAGTCAAGATTTGTTCTGTACAATTTGTGAAAAAAACATTGGTTTTTAAACAACAAATCTGTCATTTGAAACTATAATTCAAATTTAGTGTATGAATTCTGAGTTATTTTCCAGTTGTGATTTATGACTATGTAGCACTACCCCCGAAAGAGCCGCTGAAGTCCGGGTTCTCCTTGCCCCCTTAGTATGGCCGTTGGTCCACACTGGTCCCTCGTTCAGGCACCTCTACTGGCCTGGGTCATGTAGTGTCATGGTGGTCAGTCTCCTCTCAGCAAGCAGGTCATGTGGTGGGGTGATGGTCAGTCTTTTTCCCAGCCGATGGGTCACGTGATAAGATGGTATTCATGTGGCTGGTCAGCCCTTCTTCCTTCCTCTCTCTCTCCTCTCGCCCTCTCTTGAATTGCCTGCTGAGCTCTCCTTCCACCTCCTCTGCTCCTTTGTGGATTCCTCTGCTTGTCCCACAGAAGCCTTTCCTCTCCTATCCCCTTCTCTCCCTCAGGCTTGCCCCACAGAAGCCTCTCCTATCCTCCCTATTGCCTTTACTCCAGGGGTGAAACCTAATTTTTTTTGCTACCGGTTCTGTGGGCGTGGCTTATTAGTGGGCGGAGCTTGGTGGTAAGGTGACTGGGTGGGCGTGGCCAAGTCAATGTCACTTCTTTGCCCTTTTTTAACCTACAAAACACAACACAACACAACTGGCTCACCCACAATGTAAAAGCAGCTGTGCTAGACCCAAAATGGCCCCTGCAATAAACAGGAACCTCACACAGCCACAAAAAGCCCCAAAAAACCAACTTTCACACTTTACACACACACAACACAACACAACTGGCTCACCCACAATGTAAAAGTAGCTGTGCTAGACCCAAAATGGCCCCTGCAACAAGCAGGAACCTCACACAGCCACAAAAAGCCCAAAAAAACAACTTTCACACTTTACACACACAAAATTCCACATACAGCTTTGTGAGATTTTGTGTGTTTGTGTAGTTAGAGTGAAACACTACAGAAACACACTAAATCTCAGAAAGCTGCACAAATATTATTTTATTTTTATTTATTTTATTTTTATATAAAAGCAGCTAAATTTAAAACTTCCTAAACTTTAAATGGCTAGGTCTAAAAAAAGAACAACTAAAAAAAACCCCAATTAACTATTTTTTTAAAGTTCCCAAAGGGGAAAAAAACTTACCCAATAGAACAGGGGTCTCCAACCTTGGCAACTTTAAGACTTGTGGACTTCAACTCCCAGAATTCCTCAGCCAGCTTTGCTGGGAGTTGAAGTCCACAAGTCTTAAAGTTGCCAAGGTTGGAGACCCCTGCAATAGAAGGTACAAGGCAGGCAGGAAGGCAGGCAGGCAGATAGAGCTGCTCACCAATGAGCTTGATTGCAGGCAGGGAGATTCAGTTGCTTTCTGATGCAATGGATTGCAGGTATTACAGCAAGCGAAGCAAGGCAGGAGTTGCAACCAGCAGCTAAGGTAAGCAAGCTGGAGGCGGGGGGGAGGGGGAGGGATTTTTGCTAGCGGTTAGCAAGCAACTCAGCTGGGATCGTCAGAGCTTGGATCGTCAGAGCCAATTAAAAGAAAAAACTTTTTTTCTTTTAAATGGGTCTGACGATCCAAGCTGAGTTGCCTGATTAGCAGGCAACTCAGCTGGGATCGTCAGAGCTTGGATCGTCAGAGCCATTTAAAAGAAAAAAAAGGCTCTGATGATTGCACGGCTCAGCTGGGCATGGGAGGCGGAGGCAGGGATTTTTGCTACCGGTTCTCCGAACTGCCCACCACCATCGCTACCTACTCGCCCAAGCCGGTCTGAACCGGGAGCATTTCACCCCTGCTTCACTCCCTCTCTTTTTCCCCAAGCCTCTTTCTCCATTTCCTATCCCCTCAGGCCTCCTTTTTCCCCAGCCTCGAAAAACCCTCCTCCCTCTTCTCACACTCCCTCTGTCTCCCCTTCTCCCTGCCAAAACCACCTCCTCCTATTCCCTTCTCTCCCCTCCCCCCCCCCCCCCCTCCACATTTGGACTTTTGTCTTATTTTTGTTTAGTTTTGGGTTCCATGTAGGCTTCTTGTCATCTCTTCCCATTTGAGGAGCTGAAAGGGAAGAGTAATTGAAAAAGATACTGTTCCTTAAGATAAACTGCTTTTTCCCTAGTTTCTAAGTTTCTTAGAAATAGTCATCTTTTCACAGCCAGTTGTCTTTGCACAGAAAACAAATAAAATGGCTTCCAGATATGTTACCACCTTTTGATCTTTTCTCCCCTAAGCATAATAAAATACAAAATGTTATTCTCCTTATTGATTCACAGAAAGCATTGTGATATTAACATTTATGATTCACTTGAACACTTTTTTTCAGTTTCTTACTAGAGTTTTAAGAAAATATCAACTGAACCTATGTACAGATTATTTCTTTCCATGACAAGCTATCTGCTTATTTTCAGGAAATTCTCAATTATTTTTCTTTCTGAAACAAGGTACAGCTAGTCCTTGACTTACGACCACAATTGAGCCCAAAATTTATGTTGTTAAGTGAGACATTTGTTAAGATTTTAGACCTTTCCGGCCACAGTTGTTAAGTGAATCACTGCAGTCATGAAGTTAGTAACACGTTATTAAGTGACTCTGGCTTTCCCATTAATTTTGCTTGTCAAAGTTTGCAAAAAATGATAATATGATCCCAGGACATTGTGACTTCATAAATATAAGACAATTGCCAAATGTCTGAATTTTGATCATATGACCATGAGAATACTGCAATGGTTTTAAGTGTAAAAAATAGTCATAAGTCACTTTTTTCAGTGCTGTTGTAACTTTGAATAGTCACTAAATGAACTGCTGTAAGTCAAGGACTACCTGTATAGTTTCTGCCATTTTAGGTGGACTACCATTTTAGTTCACTACCACTATTATTGCATATGTTCTCTTCTGTTTTGCAGGAGATCACACTTCCTTCCCAGTTACAGAAATTGTTTATGATACAAAGAAAGATCTGAGTGTGAGCTCTTCATCAGAGGTAAAGGAACAATCTTTTTGAGATTGTAACATAGTTCATAAAGATGACTTCTTCTTCTTGGCCAATATTCTGAGACTTGCAAGTAAAAGTATAAATTGGCATTTCATACCTACCGGCACCTTAAAAATCAGACAACTACATGTAAAGAGACCTATAACCTCTCAAGATATTTCCTACCATCTCAATTTACTCATATCCAATCCCTGTGGGAGGGGGGTGCCTATGACAATTTGCCACAACCAACTCGCCACGGCCAACTCCGCCACAGCCAACTTGTCACAACCAATTTGCCATGGTCAACTCACTGTAGAGTAAGAGTTACACTAAAATAAAAAAAATGGTGGAATCGAATAATTAAAGAAAGAATGCAAAAGGGGGGACAAAATGAAATGTGAATGACAAAAATTAAAATATTTTTATTTATTTTAAATAATTAAATTGAATTGCTAAATTATCCCGTAGCAAGTTGAGTTGGCCCTGGCAAGTTGTCCCATAGTAATTGGTTTTGGTGAGTTGGCTGTGGTGAATTGGCTGTAGCGAATTGGCCCATTTTGTCCCTGGGCTACATAAGTGCCACACTGTCTTTTTGCAACTAAAGAAAATACTTTTCCTTCTCTTCCTGCTGATCTTCCTGCTAGCCCACCAACCACCTCAGCTACCCCAAGCGTCTGGCATCCTGACCTTAGCTGTGTGGTGATGAAAAGAAGTCAAAGATAGAGGGCACATGCGTTTTAATTAATAAATCATATTCTATATCAAGTATTACAACAAAGCATACAAAAAGACAATTATGATGGGCTTTGTAATAACATTTTCAGGTCACCAAACTGTGAATCCATTTAGGAAGCATTTTGTTTCATATACAGATGGAATTAAATATATTAAATAAAAATGTGGCACCACAATATAGTGATCCACTCTCAGCTGATTAATATAATGTATATGAGAGAAATTAGAGTCATACAAAAATAGCTTTAAGATAGGATGAGAGAAAGTACAGTTCTTACTAAATTTTCCACTGTGATTTTTGGCCATTTTCCAAGGATATTTATTTCCATTGGTATTTTATTTAATACTTTTTGCAGTAGCAATAACATAGGATCCCACAATTTTGCATGCAAAAGAGTTCACTTCTCTCTGACATGATCCACTTATTATAGAACATATAGTACTACTTTTGTAAATTATTTGGCAAGAGATCCTGTGTTAAATGTCAACTCATGAATATAGAACAGTTGCTTTATGTGGCAAGCAAATCAACTGAAGAATGAAAAGTCTATTATCACCTTTCAGGAGTCATATTTCTGAAAGAAAGACAATTGATCACTTAATTTATTGGACTTTGATCAAGGTACAATTAGTCATGGCTAATTCAGTCATAAAAGACTTTTTTATTTAGTTTCCAGTAAGATAAGGATAAGTGTCTAGATTCTGGGGTTAATTTCTCTGAATTTGTTACATTTATTGGCCTGGTTCATATATAATATTAAGCAAAAATAGATGGCTTCAAACTTTAAATCAAGCAAATTTCAAGTATTGTATGGCCCAAACTATTAAGTAAATAGGTAAGGTTTTTATAAATTTACCGGCTCAAACTTTTGATTTTTAAAACTGTGTTACTTACAATGAATAAATAATATTTACTAATATCTTGTTAACCTAATGTATTCTATTCAATCTACTAGGTGTTGAAAAACGAATTTCAAGCAGGAAGACTTCCTTCAAGAACTAATGTTTATCCAATTAATCCAGTCAAAATCAGAAATGTGACACTAATATAGGAAAACAGTTACATAGCTATATCATTTCTTAAAATTTCCTCATTTATTTGAAAATCATCAATTTAATAATCTCTGAGGAATTTTAATGAAGAAGCCACTGCTGTTTCCCCATAAAACAGAATGAATTTCTCTTAAAATATTTATTTTCTGTCTACTTTAAAATTTATTGTAAACTAGTGGAAGTTTCACTATCACCTTTGACCTGTTAATTCAAAATAAGAGTTTGTTTAATTATCATCTCTTTTTGTGTAATTGTCATATTCTAAATCATAAGATCCATGATGTTAATTTTATTTTTAAAATGCAAGCCCTTTGATTTAAGATTAACATTAAGGTTGCATATTCATATATTTCTGGTTGCAAACATCATACAGTGATGACATGACAACAGAAAGTCCTGCAAGGATATGTACCATTCATATTTAAAATAAATCCAACATGGATTTCCATGAGAGCAGATATAAAAGCTTAAATAAAATGGAATCCATTGTGACATGGCATTGAATAGATTTAGTGCTATTGATCCTTCTCCAGACAAAAAATGCACACCTAGCATGATTTGTTTGCAAAAGATTATGTAAGATAGTATATACTTGAAATTTGCATTAAAAAGTATAATGTATAGTGATTTACATTTTAAAAATTCTCTAGTTGTGTATTTTTTAAAAAAAGATTCTATCCCAATAATTAAATTAGAATAAGTATGCAGTAAAATACACATAACAATATATTTCCAATATATTTGGAGAAACTTGTGTTAAATACATATGTTGAAAAGCTTTGTTACATATGTAAGTATGTGTTTAAATTATATTTATTAGGGGATATTGCATATAGAAGCTCCATATTAAGTAAAGTTTAAATGACAAATCAGAATAGATATATTTATTTTGTTAAACAAGCATTGAAACTGTTAATATTTCTGATATTAAGTGCTAAGCAACTTAACTTCCTCAAGTTTCACTTAGTACTAAAGTATGTTATCACTTTAATTACATTTTTTTATTATTTACTTTACTTATTAAACTAAATGCTGACTTTCTCTGTGTTAGACACCTGTCATTTAAGAACATAGTTAGAAGTAAGAGTTATTAAAATTGATTGGGCTTGTCTCCATTAATAAGTTAAAGTTCTCAAACCACTTTTTCCTTCTTCATTTCAAAGATTTTTTGAAAATCTTTGCATAAAGTAATTGTGATTATTACAAGTGCATTTTATATTATTGAATTGCCAAATAAAAGGTACTTAATTTTCACCTTTTTCTTTCTAATTAAACATTTAAGATAAACAGCCTGGGTCATCTTAAAGAATAAAAAATTTATTCTGGCACTTTTGTGCATAGGAATCGTCTTCATTAAAGCAGTAAAATGTCTAAGTCACACTTAATTCCTGATGCTTTAGGAATTGATGATAATAATGTTCTTCGTAACTATATAGTAAGGTACTACTTTTAGACAAGAAAAACAAAATGCACAGGTAGAGTATATGTGGTACCTTGCTCAATAGTTGTAACTGTGAGAGGGATCTTGGAGTCTTAGTGGACAATCATTTAAATATGAGCCAGCAGTGTGCTGCAGCTGCCAGAAAAGCCAACACAGTTCTAGGCTGCATAAACAGAGGGATAGAATCAAGATCACAAGAAGTGTTAATGCCACTTTATAATTCCTTGGTACGGCCACACTTGGAATACTGCATCCAGTTTTGGTCTCCATGATGTAAAAAATATGTTGAGACTCTAGAAAGAATGCAGAGAAGAACAACAAAGATGATTAGGTGACTGGAGGCTAAAACATATAAAGAATGGTTGCTGGAACTGGGTATGTCTAGTCTGTTGAAAAGAAGGACTAGGGGTGACATGATAGCAGTATTCCAATATCTCAGGGGCTGCCACAAAGGAAAGAGAGTCAAGCTATTCTCCAAAGCACCAGAGGATAGGACAAGAAGCAATGGGTGGAAACTAATCAAGGAGAGAAGCAACCTAGAACTAAGGAGAAATTTCCTGACAGTTAGAAAAATTAATCAGTGGAACAACTTGCCTCCAGAAGTTGTGAATGCTCCAACACTGGAAGTTTTTAAGAAGATATTGGATAACCATTTGTCTGAAATGGTGTAGGGTTTCCTGCCTAAGCAGGGGGTTGGACTAGAAGACCTCCAAGGTCCCTTCCAACTCTGTTATTCTATTCTATATGGAAATGGATTCCTGTCTGCTGCCTTCTCCCCAGTTTTCCAGTTTTTCTATGGCTTTTCTATTTCCTGATAATATACAGTATTATCACATACTAAATAGATCTGACTGCTTAGCCATTCAGTCTATTTTAAGACCATACTAACCTTCCTGCTCTCTGAGGATACACAAAGTTGTTTCTTCTGCATGGAACTAAGGTAGCTCCTATTTGTCTGATGATAGAATAATGTAACTGGCTATTTTATCCATAAGAAGCTACCCTGTCTTGCTCACTGAAATTCATTCTTCAGTGTGTAAATATGAAGATGCAATTTTTAATGTTTTTCCAAATAATTTCTAGAATTCACTGGTTAACAATTGTACAATTATTGGCTTTTATTTTTGTGTGTGAAATAATCAGAAATGATGTGGCATTGTCCTGTCTCCCCCACATATCTGCAGATTTTATGGCTCTTAGCGGATACTCTCCTGCTAACTGTGGAGATCACTGGAGAATAAATTGGTTACTTGGCTTTAAAAAAAAAAGGAACAGGTGAAAAAATACAGTGAAAACTGAAATAAAGCATGGAGTAGCAAATGACATTTTTTTCTTCTTTTATGAACTGTCCACACACATGAAAGAATATGGATTTATTTGGCATACATCTGAATCAAAAAGGGGATACAACATGGCTTCAGTATATTGTGATTACTGAAAACTGAGAGCAGTTAAAACCAAGCAACACTTTTTTCTTGGCTGTTCAAAAGCAGGTTTGCCTAAGAAATTTAACAAAGGTTACATTTGAGGGATAATGAAAAAATACATTCTGACAAGACTTAAAAGAGACTTCTAGAGCCAGAGAAAAAAAGAATAATATGTTCCCGGGATAAGCATTGTTGTTCATTAAGCAAATAGATTTATTGCAAAAATGAAATGAACTCATTATTTTTATATTTTTGGCTTTGGTGTATTTTACAAATGCTGTTTATAACCTCTTTTTGTTGTTTAAGATGAGTCCTGTTGAGATATTTGTAGTCTAGTGAACAATCAGCAGATAGATCACAAATCATGCAGTTTTGGCGCTATTTTTTAAATTTTCTTAATTTTAGTATTGTTACAGAATACTGAAAAACCAGCGGTATTCTAAGCTTAACATATGGCTTGGGTTTCTAGAGACAGATGTCACACAAACATATAGGATTTCAGACCTGTATAAACTTTCTTCAAGTTTTCCTTTTCAGTTTTGAATTTCACATAGAATAAGTTACCTGAATCCGCCGAGTCACACATATTTAAAAATAGCTTATAGTTAACTTTCCACTGAGTTTTTTTTTTTCTTGACTGCTGAAAGCATCTTGAATTTGAGTGGGTCACTAAGCTAACTAATGTATAATTTTAAACTTGCTAGTGATTGCTACTCACAATATTGATAGCATAAATATAATGGCATATTATGCAACAGAACATACCATACTTCAAATATGAATGAACTGACTGATGCAATACAAGGAATTTTGAAAAAAAAAAGTGCAGTTTCAGTATCAATATATATGCAGTTTCAGGGGTGGGTTCTACTTATCTTTACTACCGGTTTGCAACAGGGCTGCGTGTGAGTGAAGAATGCACAGAAGCGTTCTGATGACGTTGGAGTCGGTGGGCAGAACCTCCCACCGGTTTTACTATCGGTTCTATAGAACTGGTGCGAACCGGGGGCAACCCACCACTGTGCAGTTTGTATATCGGTTACCACCAATTCTGTATCTAAAGAGTTTCCTGTCACTGCAGTTTAAAGATTAATCTCATTCCAAAAGTTGAAAATTCATGACTGTCAGAAGGTCACAAAAGATGGTCCCAGGACACTGCAACCATCATAAATATGGACCAGTTGTCAAGCATTCAATTGTAAATCATGTGACCATGGGGATGCTACAGTGGTCATAAGTATTAAAAATGGTCATAAGTCACTTTCTTCAGTGCCATTATAACTTTGAATGGTCATTAAATGAACTGTTGTAAGTCAAGGACTACCTGTATATGGAACAGGCAGGATAATCTATGTCTGTTCTGTGTCATCTCACTATTTCACAGTGTTTGTCATTTGAGTCACAAGAGCCAGTTGCAAATTCTGAGTCCAGTTCAAATGTTACTTTGCCATCAGCCTGCATCCCATTATCAGAATCAGAAAGCTATCTCATTGAAATTTTATATAGTAATTAGATATGGATATGTGGGAGCAGTGTACACATACAGTAGATCCTATCTTAAAGATTATCTGATGAAAAAATATCTTTTCCCAAAGCCTATTTTTGATAATGTGGAAGAGAATTCTTTTACTTGTTAAAAGAAGCTTTATTTAGAATTCCACAATGCTAAATAAACAAGACATAGAGAAAGAGACATTAAATGAAACTTGTTTTCTGCCTTGACCTCTCCAAGTGTCAATCGCAAATAATTGGAGAAAAGATGTACTTTTAGCTTCAGGCTTTTGAAATTTAGAGAAATAATGGTGTGTGTGTGTGTGTGTTTCCTGTATGTTCTCTTGTCCGCATGGAAATTGAAAATGTCTAATTCCCTTTTAATTAAAAGTCAACTGTCATGGGTAAGTGCTGAGACATTGCTTTCTGTCATCCTCCCCTGCATCCCAAGAAGTGCATCCTCTGCTGTAGCCAAGGTCCACAGAACTTTTAATTACTTGCATCAAACCTAAGGCACTCTTGGATTTGACTTTTTCAGCTTCATACCATAAATCTTGATGTGGTGCACAGTAGTGATAGAGTGGTGTGGCAGCGGGGAAACCCAGGTTGAAGTCTGCTTTCATCTATGGAGCTCAATAGATAACTTTAAGTCAGCCAGGCTCTCAGAATTGTACTGGAAAAAACTGGAGGAGTCTCTGCTAGGTAAGCTTCCTCAAGCAATTAGAGGGGAGGAAATTCATTCTGATCGATAATGTGCTCATTGCATTGTGTTTGGAAGTTATCCTTTTTCCCCCCAGTGAATGACAGCTCAGCACCTTTCATCAGGCATGACATTTTCCCCTTTCACAGGACCAATAACAACCTAAATGTCAGAAAGGCACAGAGCTGCCTCTGTACTCTCAAAGTCATTCTATGTGGGATTTGGGAAGGGTTAGTGTCTTCCAGTAGCCATTCTTCCTTATTTCAAGTGATTCTTTAGTATCACTTAATCACTTTAGTAACAACATGCAGGCCTAGTTCTTGCATAAAGTAAGACATTATATAGTTGTTTGATTTCAGTTTAGCATGTTATTTGAATGCAGTCAGTGTAGGGTTATAGGAAGTTAGCACCCACCCCTTTCCTGGAAGAGTGAAATATTTTAGGAAATATGAAAAAGGCAGAATATTATATTTCCCTGGGATAAGCATGTTTTGAAGCAGCTCCCATCTTCCTGCCCCCACCCTTTATCAATGGGCCATTAAGGCTTGGGCCAGTCTATTCTACATAACAAAGATCTACCTCCTTCAGGCAGAGCCATAGTAGGAATTGCCAAAGATCCAACAAAGATAGGATTAGCCCTCTACACAATAGCAGCAGAAACTCACCACATGTGACCTGGGAAGCACATGTGACCATCAGCCAGCAAGGCTAGCTAAGACCCCCACCCCCTGGGAGTCTGACAACCAATCAGAGTACTCTTTCTGGGCCCTAGGAAGTTCAAAGCCAGAGAGAGCATAAAACCTGAAAAACTCACTGTATCTGCCCCTTTTCTGTTCAGGAACTCAAGCCATGTGATCCTGTCCACCATTAAACCATCTTTCCAAGCAGTCTCCATGTTTCCAGTGTCTGTTTCCCCACTTGGAGCAGAACCCAGAAGGATGTTTCTTCCAACAGGGTTATTTAGCTTCTCAGCTCAGCTGACTTCTTCTTCTTTTTAATGGTACAGAAACTAGTTAGTTAATTAGTTCCAGTGTTAGTGGGAAAGGGGGCACATATTAATGTGTAACTCTCTGGCAGTTGCTCTGGTCCTGAGCCCAAAAGGACAAGTGGTTGGTTTCTAGCTGCAGCTGGTAAAAGCAGCTGAATAAGACTAGATTCATCTATGAAACGCTGGTGGACAAACACCCATACCTAG